CAGTGTGACTGCCGTTTTTTGTTACCACCGTTCTATTATTACAGTTGTTATCACCATTTTTGCCGTTATTCCTTAGCTCTGCTGCTGCTGTTGGATGATGGAACGTATAATAAAGTCCCATTTCTCCATACGAATTCTCAATGATTAGCCAAAAGCAGTAGAGCAGTAACAGGGATACAACAGTAACATTAACAATAGCGGCAAGAATCAATAACGGCTACGCAATGCATGGTAAGATACTAAAAGGGCACAACGAAGAGATATGCAGTAAAGATTTTCACTCCATGATGATAAACAAAAAATATGAGCGAAATACGAAATAAGAATATTGAAAGGGTGAATGAAGCGGAGTGTCGGCAAAGAGAATAGGAACTGGATAGATGAAAACATAAGAGGTGAATGGAGACCTTTCACCAAACTCATTTTTGTTCAAACATTATTGTATGTTTTCATCAATGATCTCTAATATGCAGATTTTAAGAAAGCAGTGCTAGTTCAGAAAAAAAGAGAAAAATTTTAAAAGAGAAAGTATGATTAACGACACACTATGATTAATGCTAGATAAAAAGCAATCGCACTCACCTGAAAGTCGACTTGTGCTTCCCTCCCACAGAAGACAGCTAAAACTCCCTCTAGTAGTTGCGATTATATCCGATGTGTGCTAATTCACTAAAAATTTTCTATAGAAAAGAACAAAGAAAAGTGCAGCTTTAGTAAGAAAAGCAATGCTAAATTGAAAAGAAAAACACAAAAAAATTAAATAAGTAGAATGAAGTATGGTTAGTGTCAGGCAAAGCGGCGATCACATTTACTTAGAAGCCGACTTCACTGGTGCTTTCTTCCAAGGTCAAAGCGAGTCAAAACTCTCTGTTGTTCCCGACTATATTTCGGTAAATGCAAGCGCACTGAAAAATGGACATTGTGAAACAGAAAAGAAATGTAGAAGTGGAAAAAGGATCAAAAATACAAGCAATCAATTAGGAACCAAAGCCTGAATACTACTAACAAGGGAAGGAAGGCTGGTCGAAGTGGCCTTTTGAGATGAGAAGTACACTGTTTTGTAGCGCTTGGGACGCTGATTCCAAATCTACCTTTGCTATCTGCTGCGGCTTCTGTGCGAGGAGTTATGGAGGGTTTTTGAAGTAAAAATCTGAGTGCAAGAATAGGGTAAAATTAGTCGTAACCTTTTCAACATTTAAATGAGGCAGCAGCGAGTTGGTATGTTTGAATTAAGATTATTTATTGCACCGAGTGACCCGACTACCAATTGAGCCCTATAAAAAATGTTACGACTGATTTTAGCCTACTCTTGCATTCAGAATTTTACTCACAAAAACCTTCATAAATCCTCGCCCAGAAGACCGCAGCAGATATCGAAGGCAGATTTGGAGTCATCGTTCCAAGCTCTACAAGGTTCTACACATCTCATTACAAAAGGCCACTTCGACCAACCTTCCTTTCCTTGTAAGATAACATTCCCGTTGACAAGCTGGAACTGCTAAGGCTGGGTTCATACTGATTTCTATGTTCTGGAACTGTGTTGGAATTGTGCAGGAACAGTTCCGGAACTGTGCTGCATGCGCTGCAGCCGCCCCGCACCGTTCTGAACGGAGGAAGTTAAAGAATTTTGACCGTTTTCAACGGTTTTTCTTTCAGAGTTCTCATTTTGGCCTTATTTCTCCGCCCCGCTTCGCTTGTTAATCAGCCGAACTTCGAAACTCAGAAGAGGGGTTGAAGATTGAGGGCTCTTCTGCTCTGCGTATGCGACAAAACGTGTTCTTGTGCTTGTCCATTCTCTCTTCGCTATTTTTGCCCAAAATTATTTCAACCGTCCCAAGAAGCGGCTGCGTAGCTGCATAGCCATCCGCCACGAATTAGGGAGTAGGAGCAATTCTGAAATTGCATGAATTGGGGCTTGTCTATTGTTTCTGATGAGTTTCGTTTTTGGGAGTTTTCAGCCGCTTTCCTTTTTCCATAACGTTTCATCTCCGTTCTTTCTTCTACCCCGCTTCTCCTTCTGAAAAAGCTGTGAACATGAAGCGAGGTTGAGGACTGAACGCTGTTCTGCTTCATGTATCCGGGAAGATGGGCCTTCGTGCGCTCGTCCACCTTCTCTGCTATTTATGTTCAGGCCTACTTTGTGTTCTAGAGAGCTGTCTATGTCAATTTCAATACAGATGCGAGACTATGCAGCGACTTGCTAGAACACAAAGTAGGTCTGAACAAAAATAGCGATGTGAAAATGGACGAGCACAAGAAACACGTCTTGTCGCATACGCAGAGCAGAAGAGCGCTCATTCTTCAAACCCGCTTCGAGTTCCGAAGTTCGGCTGATCAAAAGCGAAGCGGGGTGGAGGAATAAGGCCAAAAAGAGGAAAACCTGAATGAAAAACCGTTGAGAACGGTCAAAATTCTCCAACTCCCGCCGTTCAAAACGGTGTGAAGCTGCTGCAGTGCATGCAGCACGGTTCTGGAACTGTTCCCGCACAGTTCCGGCACAGTTCCAGTACAGTGCGAGAAGTGTGCGAGAACAGTTCCAGAACATGGAGGTCAGTATGAACCCAGCCTAAGTCCTCAGCATCTACGGCGAAACATTTACTATAAAATCAGCAGTTGATCTAAATTTGAATACACAGATGAGGAAAGAACCAGTGATTACTCTTGAAAACGATTAAGTAGTGTTAAAACAGAGTTTGCAAACTGACATATTGTTGACCCAGGCTGCGCCGTATCTGCTATAATAATACCAAGCGTACGCTGCATACGTTGCATACGCCGCTTACGCCGCGCATCTAGCCCAATCCAAAGACCGACGAAGAGCAGTATTACGAAATAGCGCGAGTGCAATGTTACGAAACATAGAAAAGAAAGCAAGGAGAAAATTTGTAAACGCTAAAAAGATTTGCCTACCTCATGTTTTCCCTCCTTGTATACAAAGCAACACAAAGACAGCTTCAAAAATAAGGATGTAGAGAAAAATAATAATAAGTAAATTTAAGATCAAAAGGACTCACATCTTTAATACATGGTAAATCGCAACAGTTGCACTTCAAAAAGCTGTACAATAGGAGTCTCGTATTAAAGAAGCCGTCTACCCTAAAAGAGGATTGACGAGATTATGATGGCATACTAGTGCTATTACGCGATACCGCGAAGCTCTCGGAAGGTTTCCTAAGGCTCCTCAAAAAGTCGTTCATTTAGGGGGATATCCCTAACTGCGTTGCTCTTGACGTCAAAATTCTCGAGAAAATCTCATTTTCGCAACTCCGTTCACCTTCTTGTTGAACGAGACCCTCGAGAAGTTCGCCAAATTCGCCCTCTGCTCGGGAGTTTCCAGGAATTGTCTGACAGCGTCGATCATGCGACACCGCGCTGCGGCAACTAACGACGGTGCGGTGTGTCGCGTAGTACGTTGAAGGGGCGGGCACACTTCACGCGATTTCAATCGCGACGCGATTTGGCAATCCGCCAAAAGTCTTCAGATCCAACACTAGCATTCTGCACATGCACATTGTGTATAACTTACGTGGAGTGATAAAATACCCTATCCTCTGTACATTTAAAATGTGCTTACAATGAGTTATGGATAGTTGAAATACTGCCAAGTCGCGTCGCGACTAAAATCGCGTGAAGTATGCCCGGCCCTTACGGCACGTTGCATGCGAGAGTGCATCATTGTCGCAAGGCATAGCAGCGCGGGACCGATGCTGGTTCATACAGCCTACAGTCGGTTTCATCCCGGATTAGGCGAGACATTCTACGTGGAGCAGCGCATGCGCATCGCTGGAGGCTTCGCGAGCGCATAGCGCTGGCATTTTGCCGAGCAAAGACTAAGGAGATTGAAGAGACGCAGACATGGGTTCTCAGCACGACAGGATATACTGTAGCTGCGAAACGGCGCGAGCTGTTGCGAGGCGGACTCCCGCCAGTCCAATTTCCACCTAAAGCGGGTCGAAACTTACTGTATATGTAAACCACTAGTTATCGGCAACCTTTAACAACACTTAAGGGTGTAGTATTTGGTTCAAATTGCAAAGTATTTGACATTTGCATATGAACCTATAAAAGCGTGTATTTCAGCAGTTCTGTCTAGCCCATTCTATCTTCAAAGAGTTTCACCGCACTTGAGCTTCTTAGAATACACCATGCCAGAATTAGTGCATTACATACAGAAATTGGAAAGCTTACTGGCCCAATATGCGAGCTGATTAGGTAACTAGCCGCTGTACCAGGCTTTGCCCGGCTGTCCTAGGTTGATTATATCAGTTTATTAGCATTTATTACATTTTTTATTCTTTTTTCATTTTAAGATTCTAATCAATTATGGAACCTATATACATGACATTTGAAGTGGTATACCCAAAAGTCCCAACCCAAAAATTAATATCGTTGTCTTCATTGTCTACGTTTTTGCACTCAGAAGCATTTCAAAGCTCTGACAGTTAAGTAAAGGGGTAAATTTCAAAAGTGGACTATATATGGCTCCGCACTCTCATGAAGCTGGATGCGATTCCACGTGTGCGAGATGGTTAAAAAGAACTTACTTGAAAACTTGGTAACCACTTAGCTTTACCGTTTTCTTCTTGTTAAAACTTAGAATGAGCTTTCTTGCTATTGCTTACACCAAAATGTGCAAGGGGTTTGATAGTGGTTGATAAGGCTTCATTTTCATTGAAAAGTGCCAAAAATTAATAAATCAACAGAAGTATCCAGCGAATCGTTTTGAAAAGTAGCCTAAAACCATTTGTGGGGTCGAAAGCATAGGTGTGCAAAATTTCAGCTCAGTCGATTCACGCTCAAAGAAGTCTATATAGAACAAACGGTCCAAATTTGCACAAACTTTTACTTATACATATACGTGTATATACAGATAATGTCTCACAAGAGAAGACCCTTTTTGCTGTCTTCGTTTTTCTCTTTTTGAACCGCTTTTATTCCATTCCTTGCCTTAGCATCACAGTGATAATGAGCTAATATTTAGAAGTCGGATTGGATTATAGGTACATCGAAAGCCACATTCACCGGCCAAAAGGCTGCTGAAGAATTACTCATTCAACTGATTGACAATGGCCCACGTGAATTTGAGTTCGACAGGGCGCAGCTTATAGAAGTTTTACGCTTGGGCGCTGCTGTGTTTTTATCGGAAGACAGCTTGCTAGAGGTTTCTGAGAAAATCTTCATTTTGTCGGATAATGTTGCATTTTAAGGTGCCTGTTCCCTGTGTAATCTATGGCGATACCCATGGACAGTATTCAGACCTTCTACGATGGTTCAACTTAAACGGTTGGCCACATGAAACAAGGTGATATCTCTAGCATAACCGAACAAATTTCAAACATTTCCACATCAGATGCGTTTTTCTTGGAGACTTCGTCGATCGTGGTTCGCATGGAGTTGAGCTGTTTACGCTTGTTGTTTGCCTAAAGGTGCGGTGCAGTTCAAAAGATGCGTACCGTTTTGCAAACTTGTCGAACTCAAACTAGGTTGTTCGCTCCCATCACATTGAAATGTAGAAAATTGACATTCGGCACTCAATTTGAATCAGGACAACTTGAGCAAAAACGATCTGTTGAATTATCTCACGTTAGCTAGCACTTCGAGCATTTTTAGCATTCCATAACTCCAAGGATTAGAAGAATGGCCGCTAAATTTTTAATTAACAATATTCATGATATAAAACTTCATTTTCCGACCAATCTAGCAATAAAGAATTCTTTATTGTATATTCCTGGATTGTCGAGGGGCTGACATGTGCATTCCTTCTTTGAGGACTTATGTTGAGTTGTGGTGTAAGGTGTAAGATAACATAATATTGATTTCAGTGATGTTTGATTGCAGATCCCATCTAGCGTTTTAGTTGATGCTGCGTGTTTGCGTCAGAGTACGGCTTGCCTACAGGCCTCTACTATTATGCAAATAACACAAAAACGTTTTTGTCTCATGCAATTTTTAAGAATAGCTTCCTTTGACAAGAATATTACGTTGATTCGTTTTCCCAAAGTGTATCATTCAAGCTAATTTGATATGCTGGTTTCCGATCAATCTGCCATCTCTTACTTACCTTGAAAGAAAAGTCGTAGTGCTTTCAAGCACGCTTGTTTTAGTCTTGTTTTAGTTCAGCGTAAGCCAACACGACGACCGTTTGACACACATGGTGTGTCAAGCGGCTGAGATAAAGGTTCTGTCTACTTACAATGGACTGCTGGAGTGAAATCATACCATCATTCCACGTTTGAGACCGCTTGACACGCATGGTATGTCAAGGCGTATTCTGTTGAAATGAACTGAAATGATTTCCCTCCAGTAGTCCACTGTAAGTAGACACCCCCTTCACCTCAGCCTTGGACTGCTACTATAAGTAGTAGATGGCAGTATGCGTGATTTCTTGAGCATGATGCATAGGTGTTGATGTGATAACAAAGTGCAATTCCCTCGACATCTGCAACATCAAAAACAGCAATTCAAAGTGCGAATAAACATTCTTGTTTAATATATCGACGATTGTCATTTCGCCCTTATTGTATTTATTAGGCTGTCCCACGCTTTTGTCCCATTTTCAATCCTACCTATTACTCTAGAACTATGGCCCCACAAAAGCGCAAATCTATGATCGTGCTTCTCAATGTAACCTTTGATTCAACAGACATGACTTCTGAAAGCCGGGGCTTGTGACCTAGTTGACCGCTCGCGCTTGCGATGCAGTCTGCGTATCTCCCGTGCTTTGTGGTCATTACCTAGCCTTAATTAAGTCACAAAGCCCCTCCTTCCAGCCGCCAAGCAGGTGAATCAACAGGTATAGGCTGCTGCATGACGAAGGCGCAATATCTTCAGGCGCGAACGCGGCTTCATTAGCCGCAGAGCGCATAAGGCGCGGAATCAGCAATGGTGAGGACACGCGCGTCACGTTCGCGCCCGCTCAAATGATACCGCTTCTGCGCCTTCGTCATGCAGTAGTCTTCATGTGCCATATAATGAGAGGAACCCAAGACGGCTGTGCGAAGTCTTCCATTTCACATTCTCATTTTTTCTTTATTACTATTTATAGGAAAAACACGGAAAGTGTATAAATGTCTAATCTATCAGGTATACTCTTGATGTAAATGGTCCAATCTTTCAGGTATACTCTTGATGTTAATGGAGCATTTTTGGATGTTTTGGGACTGAGATACGATTTTTGTCATTTGAGCTTGTTTTCAAATACTCTCAGGTTTCAAGGATTTAATTGAACGCTTGATAGCCGTTCTAAAGAGCCGCTTTGTTCTGCTGCTGTTTGCTTCGTCAAATGGTAGCTCAAGCCACACTTATAAGGAATAAAAGTAGAAAGGCGATGTTTTGGCAGAAAAGAATTATTGGCTAATGTCTCAAAAGTCCTCTTATCTTGAAACCTGTGCATTTGAAAGACGACTTCAGTATTTGTTCTGTGTTGTACAGGTTTTTTTCATAGTAATACACTTTATTGCCTTACGTTTCGGCTACACACCGTCGTGTCGTCTTGCCGACGTCTTGCCCCACGCCGAAACGTGAGGCAGTAAAGTGTATTACTATAAAAACCTGTACGGCAAAGAACAAATGCTGAAGTTGGCAAAGAAATTGGGTAAAAATGATTCGTATCATCATTAATGTTGATTTGGTCATGTGCATCCATTGCGAAAACCATATTGATTTACATTTTACCTAAAATCTTGAAGTGATGTAAATCAAGTTGCGAAATGAGTACCCCTTTTGAACAAAAAGCGTAGCAGATCAGAGTTTACAAGGAGGAGAAAAGGTGTATGTTCTCGGTTTTTTGTGCAATTTTTTCCAATTTCCTTTCGTCTTCGGGCGAAGAAGAATTCTTCACTTCACTATGCAAACTGACAAGGGAACCGTGTCGAGTCGAAATGGCCTTTCCAGATGTGACCCATACTGCTTTAAAGAGCATTTATCGGTGAATCCAAATCTGCTTTCCAAATCTGCCAAGCGCCTCTGGACACCAAGTTATGCTCGTTTTTCAGGTCAAAAAATTGAACGCAAAATCGAAGCAAAATCGCCGAAATTTGCTTAAATGGTCCAGTGTCAGGTATCAAAGCTGTTTATGCAATGGATACATTTTATTTAATATGATAATACTTAACATTGCTTCATCTGAGCGCTGGAAAGATTGTAACAATCAATTTTACCTAAATTCTGCATTCATTTTTCGTTCCGAAGAACGGTCATAACTCGGCGTCCAGAGGCGCTTGGCAGATTTGGAAGGCAGATTTGGAATCACCGCTTGATACCCTTCAAAGCGGTATGGGTCTCATCTGGAAAGGCCGCTTCGACTCGACACGGTTCCCTTGTGAGCTAAATTGGAGCTAAAATTACGTAACAGAAAAATGCTTGAACTTCGTTTTACCCCATAACTGTTGATTGTTTTCGACTACTTCTAAAACCTGCAAATAATTTAGATTTGCTTTCCTGAAAATATCTTCGTTATACGAGGAAATCACGAAGAAGAAAATCTTAACCAGATTTACTCTTTTATCAGCGAAGTACATCTCAAGTTCAAAAGTAAGCAAAGAACATTCGCCATTGTAAAGTGAACTGGTTATAGAAAAATTTTCAGCAAAGTCAGTTTCGCCGCTGGAAAAACGTTCTATGTATGCACATTTCAAAGCAGTCTTCGTCAATTTACCTTTAGCTTGCTTGATAGGCGATGATATTCTTGCCATGCATGGCGGTATTAGTCCGTTACTAACGAGTCTCAAAGTAGGATAACAATTGTTTGGCACGTGTTTGAAGAAATTGCGTTTTGCCTTAGGACATACAAAAAATAAAGCGTCCTATTGAAGAATTCGTCAAAGGTACATTAGCTTGTGATTTAGTTTGGTCAGATCCAGATACGGATGGATTTGTTAGGAAGTATGAACCAAATTATGAAAGGTATGCCACTGCAGTGTTTCGTAGCGTTTTGAATATCATATCTTCCTAGGGAGTCGACGGTAGGCATCGGGCAACTGTTTTCGAAGTCTGCCGTTGAGGAGACCTGTGATCGATTGGAAGTAAAAATGATAATACGTGGACATCAAGTAAGTTTAAATCTAATCCGAGAAGGAGTGCCAGCTGCGAGAAAGACTTTATATTGACGGAGAAGCACTGACTTGTAGGACTCTGCGCCAGGCACATACAGTAGGAGCGACGTAGAATGCACAGTATTTCGTCAAAGTTTTATTCAACTTCCACTCAGCAGGATGGCTTCAGATATAATCCATGAGTCCTACGAACCCGAACTTACACATAGATTTGAATTCAGAATATGTACGTACCAGTGGCGTACGGAGGGGAGATGGCGGGGGGGGGGTGGCATCCCCCTCCCCATTTTTGGAAGTTACTTATATGAGTTATAAAAATGTGCAAGAGACTTATTTATACTTGCAAGTAATTCTAAAAAATTCAATTTAGCCTTATAAAAAAAATTTTTTAGGCCTTTTTCTAAAATTTTCGGGCTCTGGGCCAGCGAAAATTTTAAGAAGGGTGCCAAAAAATTTTCTGGGTGCGTGGTTGTCGTACCCCCCCCCCTCGAGCCGAAATCCTGGGCACGCCATGGTATGTACATCCGCTACTTTTTTGTATAAATAACCGAGAAACATTAATAGGTCAAAGATACGAGAATGTTCCCTTTTTGACCGCATGTCAAATTCAGATTTTCTTAGAACTTGCAGGAGCTGAAATAATGATACCCTTGAATTTCAGTACGGAATTACTCATTGTATGGGAAATCCCAGTTGCTTTCGAAGATGCATGCGCGTTTTTTCTTTCTAGCAAGAAGGTTGTACCAACAGTGCTATTTCCTGTTGTAGAGCGTGAATTTGTAAGCAAGTTTGAGGTCCTTGAGAGGACGGAAATTCTCAATACAGTAACATGTGCACATGGCTTTAGATATTACTGTACCAAACTTCGTGCATATTTAGGCGTCAACTTACAGATATCACTTTGCTTTTTCTAATAAAAATCAATGCCTACGAAAAAAGTGTGTATGGCTTCTTGCTAATCGGACATCAATGGACAACAAATATCCAAACTACGAGCACAAACAACTTCTAACGCGTGCACCTCCTTTTGGCTTTCGAGACTCTCTGCCTCTTTCCAGAAAAGGTTCAGAGTGGATGAAAAATTCGTACACCACAATATGCGCACTACTCTTGTCAGGTTTCGATTTTTGAGTGATGAGATTTCATGGTATGTGATAGCTGGGTACCAGTGGTGTGCCCAGGATTTCCGTTTGCAGGGGCGGGGGGACGACGAAAATTTTTTTTAGATGAAGGTGCGTGGCGTTAGCCACGCACTCCGAAAAAATTTTGGGATGATTTCGAAGATTTTTGCGGGCTTCTGACCCGAAATTTCCAAAAAAAGGGGGAGGGGGGTGGCGGCATTCATGCGCCCGAAAAAAATTTGTACTAGGCTAATTTGTATTTTTAAAAAATTTTAAAAATTATTTTAATTATTTACAAGTAAAAATAAGTCGCTTGCACATTTTTATAAAGAGTGACTTCCATAATTTTCGCGATCCATTCTTAGGGCCGCATGCACTAACATTTCCGCTGGGGAGGGGATCGCAGCTTCAGAAGAAGGCTTCATATCCTGAAGCTCCGGATATCTGGATTTCACGCTGTCTACCTATCCGTAAGTACTCCCACCATCCTTCACTATGAACATATTGAGCAGAAGCGAGAAGCTGTACAAGCCGCATTTCCCAGCTTTTTGTAGGATCCCCTGATGATCCCTGGGGGACGAACATCTATTCTTTAAAGCCTTTTTATTTTCTCCGAAGTTAACGAAAACCTTCCAAAGTTGTACTAAACATCTAACACAACAGTTCTAAGCATGTTGCTGATGAGAACAAATGAATTTTTGAAAAATTGACTTTTTCGGTATACCCCAAATTTCGACCTGTGGATCATCGAAAATTTCATGACTCCAAAACATCATTTGTTCTTATCAGCAACATGCTTAGCACCGTTGGGTTAGATAATCTGCACAACTTTGGAAGTTTTTCGTTAACTTCGGAGAAAGAAAAATGACTTTAAAGAAAAGCGCCGGGGATCATCAGGGATCATACAAAAGCTGGAAAATGCGGTTTGTACAGCTTCTCGCTCCTGTTCAACATGTTCATAGTGAAGGATAGTAGGAATACTTACGCATAGGTACACAACGTGAAATCCAAGCATCTGGAGTTTCGAAATATAAAGCTTTCTTTCAAGCTGCGATCCCCTCCCCGCGGCCATGTTAGTGCATGCGGCCCTTAGGGGAGGGGGGGGGGGCGCTACCTTCCCCCGCTCCCTCCCTCAGTTCGCCATTGCTGGGCACTAGGCAATTAAAAAACTCTCGTTTAAGGATATATTTCAAAGCGGCAAGGCAGAAGCTGCCACGCCGGCTTTGCCTACCAGCTTCATTTCTACAGATAATAGGTCCAACTTGGGCTTTGATATACCCAAAATTTCAAGTATCCGCCTTTCGTTATGATCTATCAGATTTTTATCTGCTTATCCTAAAAGTCAATTTCGAACTTGTGGCAGACCATCCACGTTGATGTGCGGAACCAATGTTCGCTTTTAATTGAAAATCATAGAATGTTAAGTTAACTTCGAAGCGGTTTTTTCACTTTCGAACTGACCTCCTACAGCGAGACTTGGGCGACTGCTCACAAGAGAATGATAGAAGTCGAAGTGGCCTATCCTGGCCTATCCAAGCAAGGCTGCCTACCATTTGATGCAGTACTCAACGCAATTCGAATCTGTGTTTTATATCTGCCTAGCGCCGGACGAAGTTCCGAGCAATTTTATTGCAAAAAATTTCGTACCTAGAAATTGTGAAATTGAGCTTATTATTGCACTTTCAGCTCACCTTTAGGTTTTAAATATATAAATAGCCTAGTTCATGTTATGGTTCAGCAGCAAGCCGAACATTTTCTGTACTATCGAATTTGTGCTTTGCATGCACGATTTCTTAGCAAAATAATGGCTTTTAACGGTTCATAGCTTTGCCCACATAAGCATTAAGCAGAAATGGATTACAGCTTCGAAGTCAGCGTTTTATGCTGCATCTAATGGTATGCAACTTGTTTGAAACCACCACTTCGAATTCTGACTATTCCATTAATTAACACTCAGATTTTCGACTTCCATGTTTTTAATGTTCCGGAGCATTCTCATGTTACTGACTCCAAATATTAGGTTGAGAATCTTCGAAAACCCTGACAATCACCGTTTCTCAGAAGCCGCAGGGGGAGTTTCCGGAACAGTGGTTGTTTGTTTGCGCACGGATGGACGAAAGGAATCCCAGCTCTAGGGGAGGGATCAACGCGGCGAATCTGTCATCCGAAGCGATTTTCAAAGTAATTTCCTCACTTCGGAAGCATTTTTTGGCAGCGCAAGTTGGACAAGTGTACAGTTGGGGACCCCGCTGCTGTTTAGGCATCATAATCTTAACAACCCATTCTGTATGGACGGTGCCTTCGAAGGCAGTGTCCGCGCAGATTTGGGAACACCAATATCAATGCATTACCGGAGCGGGCTCTTCAAGTAAGCTATAGTCCAAATGTAAGTGCAAATTACTACTTCTGGAGCGAGAAAACAGCTTCGGAAGCCTAAACAGACCCCCTTCTCTACCGTCCCTAAAGCAGGAAATGGGGTCGGGACCCGCTGCTGCAGCCAATGACAGGGCCTCAGCGGCCTGTCTTGGCACTATTTCCTGCTTCGATAAGGACGATATTGAATTGTAGGAGGGGTCTTTTTAGTTTTCTGAAGCCGGCAGTGGCGTACCCAGGATTTCCGCTCGGGGGGGGGGGCGACAAAAATTTTTTTCAAATGAAGGTGCGTGGCGTTAGCCACGCACTCCGAAAAATTTTTTGGGGTGCTTCTCAAAACTTTTGCGGGTCTCCGACCCCTAAAATCTAGAAAAAGGGGGCGTGGCGTCAGCCACGCCCCCGAAAAAAATTTTTTTACAAGGCTAATTTGAATTTTTAAAAATTTTTAGAAATGATTTTAATTATTTACAAGTATAAACAAGTCATTTGCACATTTTTATAACTCTTATAAGTAACTTTTAAAAATTTCGCGACCCATTCGGGGGGGGGGGCGCCCCCCCCCCCCGCCTCCCGCCCCCCCTCTCGGTACGCCACCCTAAGCCGGTTCCCCGCCCCAAAAGCAGTAATGTGCACTCGCCGTCGAGCTGTAGCTTGCATGGAGACCTGCTTCGGTACTGCATTGAAATTAGGTGTATCAAATTTGCCTTTAAGCATGTATAGTAGCGGGAATTCGTAAACTCAACTTGGGCAAAAACCGACGAACGTATAATACGTTCAAGGATTTTTTTGTGGAGAAAACCCTTTTCATTCATGGTGGGAACATCGAATCTGCAAATGTTGAAATTGTCAGCTATGTGAATTTAAATAGCGATATGCTCACTCTATCACGCTTTGATCACTCATTGGCTTCTTAAAGACCACCTTGCTTTTGGATCTGTTTAATACGAAAACTTTTCTGAACGGCTGCTCAATAGTCAGAATTCAGGCGCCTTTGCATGGCTATGCAACTTGGGCTAATGGACGTCTTATAACCCTATTCTCTGCTCCAGCTTACAGAGGGAGTTCAGAAGATACAGTGAACTTAGGAGCATGTATAGAAGCTCTAGATAGTGGAAGCCTTATAATCAAGCAGGTGAAGTTCTCTTGTGTGCTGCCTACCAGTAACCATCTTGTCTCTTTCAGCTCAAAGTCAGCGAAACCGTTCGCAAGAAGCGCGAAGATGACGCGTACGCTCGGCAGATTGCTTTGGATAATAAAGACACGGAATATGGTATTCATGGTGTATCTCTCTCGCAGTCACCAAAATTCATTATTGAGAACGCAGACAACTTTAAGTATTGAGAATTTATGGTTATTGCAAAGATCGTGCCTAAATAAAATAAATAAGTATAAGAATTGTCCTCAGTGTCTTTACGTTGCGATTTCTTTGTCAAAATATTCCGTTAGCTAAGTGGCATATGGCTATGCTAGCTTGGCCCGATCTAAGCCGTAACATTTTTTTTTCGAACCTTGTTACTGCTGACCCCGCACCGCGAACCCAGATCAATAAAAGCAATTGGTTGCTATTGACGGTTGACATATTATCTTCGTCGTATTACCATCTCTGTGCGTATGGTCTCTGTATCAAATAGGAAAAGTAGAAAAGCTCCGGAGCTAAAGCCACTCTGTACCAACTTAGGATTTTCATGTCAAAACGAGAAAAATAAAGATATTGTTAGAAACGAAGGCTTATGGATGATTCTAGGAACTAATTTCTCGGTTCACTTAAGTTTTCCCTACTTTATGAAAAAACCAATGATGACCATGAAGCAGTTCCAAAAAATCTCTCATATACGAATAACCAAGCCTCCTACTCTGGTTTTTCAAAGTAGGAATCTACAAAAATGGCAGAACTATTTTGAGTCGAATTATTAATTAGTACGTTCACTTATCTGTCTAACAAGCTCCGATTTCCTGGAATGATAGCCACGTAAGTACATAATGGAGGAAAATGGACTTTTGAGCCCTATTTTATTCGTTCGCGGTAGAAACTGGTTGGAATCTGAATTCGCTCGCGTTATCCAAAATTTTTTATCCCATCGCAACCCCCCACAAGGCAAAGCGGTGTGATGAAAATGATTCAACTCTACCTGAGCCCTTGTTTGCGAAAGAATCATGAAAATTCCGTTTAGAATGGGGCAAAATGGGATTTACCTCCATTTTAAATGGACTTGACATTTTACTCCCAGAAGCAAGGTGAGCTGGGACTATGTCCATTTTTTTGCATATTTTTTATCGCGATTTTTTGAGAATGTGTTCCTTAGCCTATTTGAAAGTAACACGTGAGTGGGAACAGTTTCATGTCTTTGAGAGGTCTGAAATAAGTGTTTTGTTCTAAACAATACAAGTGCCCTAGAAATTATGGAAGAAGGTTAAATGCACCAAGGTATTCGCAAACAAAGTTGAATGCTTTCGATTATCAAATCGATGCGAACATTCCTATGTAAATCAAACAAAGTTTTTCAATCTTCAAATCATGAACCAAACCAAAGTCATGATTTGTATTTAAAAAAAAAAGATTTGCGTCTCAAGATACTCAAGAAGCTATCTAGCTATCCAGAACCTATCTTTCATCGTACTTAGAAGCCATCTATTATGTTTCTTGCTAGCAATAGTCCGTGCAGTAGTTGGCCTTAATCTCGTACGAATATAGAAAAATTGGTAAATAAGTGATTTATAGAAAAACTCTCCTAAATACAGCATTGTGTCACCGAGAACGCTCTTTAATATCCATAATGTCACACTGTTTTTTTAGTAGTCATGAACAAACCTCTGGTTTTCCTCTATTCTTATAAAGAAACTTTTGTTTATGCGTTTTTCTGAGAGAGTGACTACCACAGTAACGTATAACCGCGTTCCTGCTGTTGTGTAGAAAACTCTTGCATATTTTTTGGAACGATGACATTCTAGTATTGTTATATTGAACTCAGAATCACAAAATTCAAAGTGCCTTCGATGAAAGCTTGATTCTTTAGAAAGACAAAAGAGTTGAGCCAACTATCGTAAATCGCGAACCTTGTTCTATTTTCGAGAACACAGCATTTAGGCAAGCAAAGAATACCTAATTGTTTTTGAATTATGCATCATCAAACCTTTACAGTGTTCAGATGTCTTTGAATCTCCAAGTAAGTGCGAAGAGCACTACAAGATGGTTGCAAAACTTCACTTAACTTCCACTCACGTAGCATTCAGAATCTGAGTCGTACTAAAGGCTCAACAAATAGGGGAAAAATATCTTTGTTCAAAAATTTTACGGATTTTCAACTCCTTACACAGATTGTATACCACATCAGATATCATTTACACCTTCCTCCCTGTATTTATTCCTTATCTATTAGATTGTGTAATGATTTTTCCATTTTTTGATTTCGTTTTTTCTTCATAGTTCGAGCTGTGTTTGATAAAATACAGGGTGTTTGAAGAGTTTTTGGCCTTAAGTACTTCAGCTCACTTACTTAAATACTTAGATGGCCCGTACTCAGTGGTGTGCGAGCCCTAGTACAAAAGTTGCCATTTATCCCCATCCCTCGCTTCAGACACCCACGATCTGCTTGGTCTCGTCGGTGGCTGCGTCCGCGAGTTCCGAGAGAAAATCGTATCCAGCTGATTTCTCAGCCGGTCCATCCGTTCCACGAACATGTCTGCCTACCTCGCGTCGGTGGCCTTCCTGGGGCGTTTCGCTTCGCGAGGACCATAACGATGTTCTTAGTGTCCATCTGTCGCCCGTTCTTCTCAAAATGTGAACGGCCCTCGTTGCTTCGCTTTCGCAATAATCCGCTGGCTCACGAAGAAGGGACATTCTTTTCAAATCCGTACCGCGAGGTCCGACAAGATGTTGATTGGTCGGTTCATCTTCAAAAGACTGCGCTGAAGCGCTCTGTGGGTGGTCCGTAGAGCTTGCGACGGGCTACAGTGTCGGTCCAAGTCTCAGCTGCGTAACAGAGCGCCGAGAGTACGGTTGAGTCGAACAGGTGGGCACGAAGCTCCGGGTCCGTATGTTGGTGGGTGGCTTCCTTCAAAGGCCCGAAAGCGACCCAGGCTGCTCTTGTTCTCCTGTTGAGTTCTTCCCTCAAGTCGTTCTCCATGTTCATCGAACGTCCGAGATACACGTAAGAAGACGTCTACGTAATAGGGGTGCCTTTCAATTTTATTTCTGCATCTTCGCAAAGGGCCTTCTTCATGGACTGAGTCTTTTTCCGAGCTATTCGCAATTCGATCTTCTTCCCTACTCCGTTTTAGTTCCTTCAGCATCGTCTCTGCTTCAGTGATACTGCTCGAGAAGAGAACGATGTCCTCCGCAAACTAAGGTTCGACAGGAATCTCCCATCGACTTATGCCTCTCTCGTCCCAGTCCAGTGATTTCATCATCCATTGCAAGGCCGCGGTGAACAGCTTAGGCAAAACTGTGTCGTCTTGTCGGACCCCTTTTCCAAATGGGGGCGTCTAGCGCAGGATGGCGTTGGTTTTGACGCTGTTAAAGGTTTTCTCGTAGTCGACAAAGGTTAAGACAAGAGGCAGTCGGTACTCCCGGCAGACTTCTATGACCCTCGAAACCGTCTGGATGTGGTCCATGCAACTGAATCCTTTGCGAAATCCAGCTTGTTCTTGGGGTTGGGCTTCATCCAGTGTCCTAGATTTGCGAGCGAGGATTATCTTCGTGAAAAGCTTGTACAGCACTCAGCAGGCATATTTAACGATAGTTTCCAAGATCCTCCTCTTTACCCTTCTTGAGTAGAAGGGCAGTTCTCGACGCTCTCCACTGGTCGGTCCTGTCCTTTTGAAGGAGGGGATTCCCGACCAGTGCAGAACGTCAAAAACCCTACAATGGTCGGCCGCCTGATCGTGGCGGGGGAGTGAACTGGGTGTCGAACTGCGATGCACAGCCGAGTGTATACTCTGGCAGGGCCTCCCAAGCTGTGAAGGAGTTCGACGTTGTCGGTTTCGGCCGGATGCCTAGCTAAGAGCCGGCCAGGCCAGATCCACCGCCGCCTGGTTTTCAGATAGCTAGGCGGTTGTCCCCGCTCCAAGCCCGGGGTCAGTGATCTCCCCGTGGAAACCAAGAATAGGCCTAGTAGGTCTGCTCTTGTATGAGAAAAATTTATGACTCCGCCAATTAGAAGAGTAGAGAGAAACCTGCGCATAGGATCCCGCCTACGGCGAGGGTAGTAACAAGAACGATGTCAGGGTCCTTAGGGCACCTATAGGATTGGACAAAACGACACGCCTGTCCGGACGGCACGCCATGGGAACTACCTCATGCTGTGCACCTACAACGCCAGGACAGTCTCCACAAACGTCGACCTCTACTCTCTTCTCGACTCTGCAAAGCACATCAAGTACCGCATCATCGCCCTGCAGGAAACGAAGTCCAGGAAGAAGGACGTCCGACAGAAGACTGATAGGACCCTTATCATTTAAAAAGGTTCCATCACGAAACGTGGTAGGCGTTGGCTTTGTCGTCCACCCATCTACCGTCCATCTTGTCGACTCGCACGTGATTCTATCACTTCGACTAGCATCCTGCGACTAGACCTCCACGTCAGAACACCTTCAGCATCATCAACTCCTATTCACCAATATAAGCAGCTGACGGTTCAGAACTAGATGCTTTATACGAAGACGTGGACAGGTCGTCCGCAACGAGAAGTCTTTTTACAAGTTTGTTGTGGGCGACTTTAATGCGAAAATCGGGATGCCACTAGAAAAGGAATATAGGATAGGGAAGTTTGAATATGGGCTCCGGAACAAAAACGAAAACCGTTTTGTTGGGCTTCTCTCCACCGCACGACTTTGCCATGGAAGTTCAATGTGTATGAAGAAAGAAAACGCTGGTGGACATGGGAATCGCCCAACGGAACGACTTATGCGGAGATCGACTACATTCTCACCAACCGAAGGTGGAGCTTGCTCGATGTCTCAGTAGTTCCATCCTTCTGCAGTGGCTCCGATCAAGTTCCAAGTTCTTCTCAGAAGTCACTGAGGCGCACTCTTCGAGCGAAGATACGACTCAGCCGAAGGCTGGAAAAGAAAGTCTGTCACAGTGCCGCGAGAAGGAAAGAAGTCGTTTATGACGGTAACAGGCTGGAAGAGCTAATATCAAGATATGATTGGCCCATCGAGGAAGACCCAACGTACGACTACAACAGGCATCTGAAATGATTGAGAGCTTGCGGAGAGTGCGCCTCAGTGACTTCCGAAAAGAACTTGGAACGCATTTAGAAGATCACCAAGGATGCTCGATAGAAGAGGAATTTTGAGGCAGGACCCGGATCCAACCCATCTCGAGCGACTGATAGCCAATGCCAGTTGCAGAACAGCTTTGCAGGAGGATCTCAGGAAGTACGGACAAGCTAAGATAATGGAAGCAGCCGAAGGAAAACGAAAGTCTAAAGAAGTGCCGAAGGGACCTCCATGAATATTATGTAGCGCTGGCTGCACTGTTGAACGAAGACGGGACTCCGACTTCTTCCCGATACAAAGAATCTATCGCGAAGAGCTTCTATACCAGATTTTTCCGCTCATCAACACCCGTGCCGATGACTTTTGTTTCCTGCAGAAGTGCCACCCAATCCTACCTGTTGAAGTGCGCACGGCGGTCCAGACCATGAAGACGTTTACGGCTCCAGGACCAGACCATCTTTTCGTCGAATCACTGCGAGCCGGAGAACAATGTCTACACGAGTTCTTGCGTCGCACCAAGTACTTCAACTGCGAATCCTAACTCGATTTTTGCTATATATGTTCGCTAAACCTAGAAATCACTGAATCAATAAAGAATATTTTTGCATCAAGATACCCTTGAAACTTTAGAAGTAAACAATTTTCCCAGTTTCCTCGGAGAGGCGAAAGAGTGCGTTATCTGATTTGTTCTACGTTTTTCAACGCGGAAAACTGAAACAACTTTCCTTTTTCTATTACAAATAGTCGTCCTAAGTTGACATTTTCTACATATAACAGAAGTTCTTCAGTAGCTTGCAAACAAAGATTTTTTCGTGTATTGAATTACAGCAGACAATCTTGGCATGAGTTACGTTGAGATTTTTTCAAGTGAAAAGTTTTCGCGTTGAAAGGAAAAAGATGTCGAAAATGGATTTTTGCTTCTTTGGACTTTTCTTTTCAAGGCCAAGGACTTTTCTGCACTTTCTCGGAATGGAAAAGCAAGGTATAAAAATGAGCAAAGGAAACTGAGAGCTTTCTGATGCATATGAGAACTTTATTGATCACACCGCAAAATATAAAGAAAAAACGACATTAAAAAGTGGGGCGGAACTGACTACGTAACCTAATAGATATCGAGAAAACAAAGACTTTCATGCTTATTTAAAACGAAGCTATGCTGTTTTCAACCTTGTAATTGTATAATACAAGCCCTTGGAAGTATAATAAATTTTCAGTTCTCCCAAGCCCTAGTTTTCAAGAACTATTAGTTTTAGCTCTATTTACTCGGATGTTTCATGCTAAAATCAATACTGCTCAAGAACTAGGGCTTATGGAAAACCTTGTGTTAGAGCCTTGACAACTGTTCCACTTGTTCCAATAAAAATAAGAAAAGTTTGTTTTTGTTTTTGCCTTTTTCACACCCTCTAAGGTCGTATTAGGATACAGTATTACGGTAACCCTTTAAAGTACAAAGAATTGAAGTTGAGGAATTGAGGTTTTGCTTGGAAATTGTCTTCAAGATAGTTGTTGACAAAATTATCAGCGCTTTCAGATGCACTGCTAACTTTCTAGTTAGGCGGAGTGAGAAAGTTGCAATAATATGTATGGCACTCATTCTTATTTGATGTTTGCCGGAATATGGTCGATTGCCTTCCTTTATTAGGGAACAACGCTGACGATATGCATCTCCGCTGTTCAGGTAGTGTTGACAGTCTTCGTTCCCTTATACGACAGAATACTGCGCAATTTCTAGCAAGAAAGGATAAGTTCTTGCAGATTCCAAGAAGATCCGCTGCAATATAAGTACAGCAATTAAGGGCAGGATCTCAGCAGGCAAGGATAGGACTCCAGGAAAGGTTATTGTTAATGTTCAGCTACAAATGTTTTTTAGGTTTATTGAAGACGCCAGATTGTTATCATTCCTTACTAAACAGGTGCAGCAGCATCTGAGAATTGTTTCTAACTCGTGCTTCAAAATAGCTGTGTGGAAATTCCGCTTTGGGTAAAAGGCTATCTAGTAGGTGGCTGTCGAAAACATATCTTGTGTTCGCAAATGAAAAGCATAGGTAACATAGCTTAAGTGAAGCGTTGACTCCTGCTCAGCAGAGTGATTTCTGTAATTTTTATGAACTTTGAGCGCACCGCACTGCTGGATGAACTGCTGTTGACCCAATACGATTTCGGCGTTATGCGCTTTGGATACGATAAGCTTGGAATGTTCTATGCAACCCCAAATGCTGCGCATTTTGGCGGTGCTCAAGTTGTTACATCTATTTGCAATATGAACATGTGGAACGTGACGTGTTTGCCGGAATTATGGAAGCTAAATATACTATGCACTTGAAGTCCCTGAGTAATATGTGCAAACGGAAAATTGAGTGCACTGATGGGTCGCAATCGCCTATTTACTTCTGCTTAGAAGGGAAGGATACCAACATTAGTCGGTGATTAAACATGAAATGTACATCTCTAGCGCCTTTGAATGCTGTTCTTAATCTATTTTCCTTTTTAGCGAACCTCCGAAAGAAGTTTTGAGCGTTTGGATGTTCCGATTTGCCAAGCATTGAGTGGCTTGAAGCGAAAAGCTCTAAAAGAGCACCTATGCGATTTTCACCGGCTTTGTATCTTTCTTGCAAACAATATACTCGACACAAAAATGATTTTCCACTTTCCGTTGTTTTCTGTACAGCTTTTCGCCAATTTTAGGCCATCTAAACTTGAAAAATTTGGACATTTAAACGCTCACAACTTTTTGAAAAACTTATCCCGCAGAAGAGGAAAGCAGATTTGGAGTCAGCGTTTAAAGGCTCGTCTATTGATGTACATCTCATCTTCAGTCGCCAACTAATGTTGGTATCCTTTCCTCATTAGGAGTATCACTTGCTTAAGAATAAAGCCTACATAATATATCTGATAAGTTTTCATTTCTAAAGGGGTAAATTCAGCGTGTTTTCCATAAAATCCAAATAGTTTCTTGCGTCTTGATAAAAAGTAATTCTGTTCGCAAAAAAAGCTGCTTCGCCACTCAACGTCTACCCAATCGTGCTAAAGTGATGCGCCAAATCTGCAGCGAGTGGAATTGTACTATTCTTCTGATTTTCTAGTATTATCATGTCGAAGCAAGAGCTCTAGCTTTTTATTGCGCGATCACAAACCACCCTGTCTAATGACATATTCCCATTTTGCTCAATGTTCAAGATTAATGAAAGTCGCAGTGGAGTCTTAGCTCTGATTACTGGTAATCAAAAGACAAAGTAGCTTTCCCTTTTGTCGCGCTCGCTTGGTGTCGGAGTGTGTACAATAAATTTTGTAAAAAAAATGTGATTACGAAGGTAATTGTTGCTGTAATTAGTCACGATGGCAAATTATAACAAATATGTTTTTTCAAACACCCGGGAATAATGTGCAGTATGAGTTGGCAGCAAGCTACTCCTTGATATCCATTGACCTAGTTTGCAACCAGTTGGCTGTAATCCCTAAAATCTCGCATTTGTGGACTTTGTTAAGCGGAGCAGAGTGCCGCATCTCTATTGGAAAGAACATGGCAATTGAGGGTGCCGCTGATCTTGCCGCGGGAAGTCCTATGTATGCAAGCGTGAGGCACCGTGCAAACCTGAAGGGATTGCAGTTCCACGCAATTTGATCGTTTGCCAGGTATTCCAGATCCAATCTTGCAGACCATATATATGACTTTTGTCATACTTAAGTTGCTCCTCCTCAGGGCCTGGCAAGAGGCAGGCAAATTTCAAGCCGAAAATCGTTTTGGATGGGAAGCGAAGGGTTTCTCGTAAATATACATGTGCACCCTCTTGAGGCTACACGACGATATGCAAAAACGCGGTCCTTCACCTTTAGAAAGCCGATTTTTTCCATTGAATTATAATCAAATGTTTCGCTTACAACACACATATAACGATATGACTGGGAATTTGGAGAATAAAAGGACGTGGGCTAGAAGGAGCTAGGCCAAAATATTGTGGGAAAATTATGTAAGTGAAGGTCGTGGCAAGCTTCTTTCTCAAAATTTTCCGCTATCACAAAGTGTTTGAATGTCTCGTTTGCAATGCACAAATGACGATATGACACGAAATTTGGTGTGTGGACGCACAGTAGGGCTAAGGAGCAAGGCGTTAAAAAACGTGCTTAACTTTTTTATGGCAGCCCACCTAGTGGCCACATCAGGTATGAAAAGCTTTCCTCTCACATAAGTTTTTCAAAATTTTTACACAAATTTATTCTACTTCTAAAGTTTTATAGATGGTAACATTTTGGTTCCAAAACTCTCCCTCTCCCCTTGTTAGGATCCGGATAGCAACAACGCCGGTCCTTTTCAAGAAAAAAGTACGGTCCAAGCGCTCTGTTGGAATCGCTGGATTTATGCCTTGGGTCCAAAGCCTGATGCATCTTCACGCGATTCCTTCAAATCGCTACATCCACCCGATTGGCGATTTGCTGGATCTCTACGAATAAGTCGTACGCAGTTCTCCAATGCATAGACAGTAACTTCTTAAGTTGTCGCATGCGCATTAAGTCTACCTCAGCAAAGCGCCTTTAGGCCCAACGATGAAGAGTGAGTCGCTGCGTGAGGCATACCTCGAAGCTAAATCTACCTCTTTGATGTAACTGAATTGATTCTAGAAGGACAAGTCAGGAAGTAGCACTTATTGCATAATAATATAACTCATCAAAGGCATAAGGATATTCTTTTTTCTTTTTCCCATAACCTTGCTTTGCTTATCATGCTTTATGTTTCATACTATGTTGAAAAATGTAAGCTCTCCACGCCATGCCGTGGGCATGGCCACATAACACTATTGCTGCAATTAATGCACAAGATATAAAATAGTCCAATTTCAGTAACTTTTCCAGGCGAGGCACTGATCGGTCGCTATCTCCTGCGTATTTGCAGGAGATAGAAACAACCATTGTATAAAACGATTACCATAGCTATACAGTGAAGTAGCACAGGGACAAAGGTGCATACTATTTATTTCCAGTGCACACTTTGCCAACAGAATGCCCGCGGCGCCAAATTTTTTTTTGATTTTGATTTTCAATAAATTCATGGCGGTCCATAAATGAAAACAAACAGGCAAGAAACTGAGCAGAGGTAAATGACCGGCCGGTTTTCTCATAGGCAGTTGAATATAATAGGAAATTAGGCGAAGCTGTAAAAAGTAATCACATAGACAGGAAGTATAAACTAAATCTTGTACTTTAAAGTTATGATGACCCCTCTTTTAGGTGTCAGCAAGCCGCTGATAAAAGCTAGCTGACTTCCTTTGAAGGATTATTTTGAAGAAGAGCAAGGCTATCACTCACTCCAGATAACACTGTTCAGATAGAGGTCTGCGGTCTGGGGCTAGATTTCAGTGAGGCATTAAAGGCAGTGTCCGAGCAAAAAGTCAATTTTGAGGTTTTGTGCTTACACGGACCTATTCACTATGCTGAATCCGAAAATCCATATTAGAAAGCGCGAAAACGGCGAAAAACGGCTTTAAGGTAGGAGGAAAATCGGAAGTGGGCGGGGTCTTCCCTACTGCGGATTCACGCTCCAAGCTTCCGGAGCGATCTTCTCGGTCCCGATTTCAAGTCACGCATTCTCACCTGGCCTGTCGAGATCTCAAGACGCTAGCGGAATTGAGAAAATCTTCAGAAGCTGGGACCGCGAAATTCACAGTGGGAAGAAACCGCCCACTTTTGATTTCTCTCCTTCGTTAGAGCCCCTTTTTCGCCGTTTTCGCGCTTTCCAATGTTGATTTTCGAAGTCAGCATAGGCGAATAGGCCCGGATAAACACAAAGGCCCGTAGTAAAGCTTGGTCACGAGAGATGATCTCCCCTGAGGCTCTCATATGAGGTTTTGCCGGGTGAGATGAGGACTTTCCGCGTTTTCGTAGTGTAAGGCCCGGTAGGGAGATCACCTCCCTGCCGAGTCATCGGAGATGAGCCGGGCGACGACGTTAGGTAAATACTGTGCTAAAGAGGAGAGCACAGAGAAGTCCTCCGTAAGTTGCTCCCAAGTAACTTACGAAACATCGCAGCTGACGTTCTTTTGCCGCCCTCACGGCCTGCCGCTTGAAACGCATAATTCTTATCCATTTGACTAAAGATGCACAAGTGACAGAAACGTTTCCACCTTCGAAAACGCGAACATCCAGTAAGTGATCTGCTCCAAATCAATCGCTCCCCTGACAATGTGCTGAGGCGCGATGAGATCAACTCCGGCCCGCCTCAAGAGAGGTGCCCTGCTGGGGGTTTACTACGTGTCAAAAACTCGGCAGATTTTGCATTTCAATCTTTTTGCATGTTTTGTCCTTTTCGACCCATAGACTCCGAATTTGAGCCTTTTCCGGGGCGTTCACCCAATCTTCAAAAGACAACTCGGATGAGAATTTCGGAAAGTTGGAAGGCTCTGGCAGGAAGGCCCTGCTGCCTGTAAATTTTGCCTTGAATAGCATGCACAATGCGCGAGAGCGGTCGTGGGGTCCCGCGCCGGACGGTAAGCTAAGTCGTCTAAGCGCGCGCCAATTAAGGTTGCGCGCGCCGGTTCGAGGGCATTTTCTGGACTCAGAGAAGAATATCAGCCAGCCGGACTGCGCCTGGAGGTCAGTGGGATGACTAGGAACACGACCATAGCAGTATCCCCAGGGCGCGATCTGCTGGGACACTGCCTTCAAGCTGTAAGTAAAACTCCCCGAGAAAAAAAGACGGATTAGTTTAGTGTTAGTGAAAGTATAACTATGGTTAGTAACGCTAAATAGAGGCATTCATCACCTAAGTTTGATATAGAAATGAACCGTGCGCTCAAGCTGATGGAAAGACACGAAAAAAGGCAAGATTAGCAATGGTCACAGTTAAAGGATTGAGACCAGAGATGCACTACACATAATATCGGATGTACTACGGATGCGACGGATGTCATTGACCAGTTCCAGAATTAGATCATCTCTAAACTTTTTAGTGCACCTTCAAAAGCTCTACTATCCAAGCCAAATCATTACAAGACAGCCATTTTTTGTGTATGATTGAAAACTTCTTGTTCAAAAACAAAAGGAGATTGTCTTCGCCCACCATTTACCAAAATAGTGCGAGTGGAAAAACTGGTAGCCCTTCTGTGGTTGAGTTTGAATACTAGGCATTGTAAAGTTATAATCCAGCCTCCCCTTCTCAAAACGAGTATAAGGTCATGTACACCGACGGTATGGGAGACTCTCCATTTTCAGTACTTTCACGTTTTTTGTAAAGTAAGTGAGAAACACACATTCAAGTAATGTTGATCCCTGCCCACTGCGGGCTCGACTTGACAAAAACAACAAGTTTTTGTCAACAAGGTGTGGTTTTCGTATCAGAAGCACAAATGACGCATAAAAACCACCTACATTCAGTTAGAAAAGAACTTATTGGATATCTTGGTGTAAGGTCCTATAAAATAGTATGGAATTATTTCAAATTATAGCTCATGTTTTTGGTCTTACTTTAGGGAGACGGCAATAATACGGGTTCCGAGCCAAGGGGAAGTCTACACAAAGGTGAATTTTTATATCTTATACTAGCTGATCTGCCCGGTCCAGCCCGGGAATGATCACTGATCGGGAATGAAGATAAGGTATTCGGTGGCATTGTAGAAACTGTGTAAAGAACAAAAACAAAATGTGAACACTTATTAGTCGGTAGCATACCTCTCTTTCTCCAAATCAAGTTCAACGCGCAAAACCTAAGCAAGCAGCGCGAGTTAATTGATAGCAGCGCTCATTGTTATTATGAGGATCATTTTTTGTGACACTTTGCCGTTAACCGGCTACTTCATCTTCATTCACTGCTTGCCGTCAATTTTTGTGGAGTCGGCAGTACTTTGCACTCGCGCACTTTCCGGTCCCAGGGATCAACTATAGCGAATGTGAGTTGTCGCTTGTCTTGACATTATTTCTGGTATTGACAAATAATTTGTGCGCAATCTCATGAAAAATTTTGACCCCTCATTGTTTAAATTGAGCATGTAACGAAGAAAGCATTGATTATAAGCGTAAATTGAGCACGCTTCCATACAAAACACTCGCTACAAAGCACTCATGGTCTCTTGCACGCTAAGGTTTCCGCATAAGATACATTTAGTGCATCCATTTAAATGAGCAATTGAGACTCATATCAAGAACACTTTTCACTGCACTTCGTCAACAGAAGTTCACAATGAGACATGCCAGCCTTGTTTACATACCCCTGTTTTGATAGCAAATGATAAGAATCATTTTTATTGCAAAGTGCTGCAAATTAATAAATCGATAGAAGGACCCAACGAATCGCTGCAAAAAGTAGCCTATCATCTGCGCAAGGCTCGAAAACATATGTGTGTAAAGTTTCAGCTTAATCGGTTGAGCGGCGCGCGTTTCTATAACGCACATACCCTCCAAACTGACAATTTTTGAGTTTTATATATATGTATATAGATAATCTAATGTGTACCATCTTAGGACTCAGCCCTCCACATAGCCCAGAAGCTGCGAAAGTGAACGCAGATGAAGATTTGAAGACATGTCCAACAATGAACAGTATAACGGTAATTCGCAGATGTTATGTATCAAATTGGAACAAGGAAATCTACAAGTTTGCAGGAGATGTCGAGCCAAGCAGGCATTTTTGATAGAACACAATGGGAAAGAACTCGTTTTGCGAAAGAGGCTGCTGGTATTATTGACTCAAGAGAAGCCGTCAGAAGTGAGCGAGTAAACGGAATATACCAAAAGTCCTTAAACCTATATTTCTTCAACTGGAACTGAACGAAACATCTTGGACACTTGAAAGTTACAACTTAATTTATGGAAAATCTACAAAACAATAACATAGACTCAAAGTTCAAAATATCCTCCTTTGGCTTTCACACAGGCCTTCAGATGCTTGCGACACATCCACTGTGGCAAAGAGGTAGCTGACATTAAGCCTGGCCTTCTAGAGCGCAAGCTTTAAGCCAACTAGATTTTGAGTAAGTAACGCGGTAGTAACGCATGCCTCACCCGCTAAGACTGACCAGACAGAAAAGTCAACTGGGTTCCAATTCGGTGTGTAAGAGAACCACTCAGGTGATTATCGCGGAAAGTTTGCACCACTCTGAACGATTGCGTCCCGTCCACTGGGAAGGCGCAGAGTTCTGCTGAAAGGGCCAGTCTTCTTTGCTGAAGTGGATCTAACTTCAAGTGAGAATCTCCTTTACAAGCATTTGTGCCAACTAGTACTGCGCATTCACTTTTATTCCTAAATTCAAAAAACGAGTGGTGTCTTGACTCCCCCTTAACCACCATCTAGGCTAGATGGTGATTAGGAAACGGAACGTTTACTTTGCATAAAGGCTGCTTTGACGGATTGGGACACAACTCTGTGTTTTGGCGGTTGTAAGTTGTTCTATCGTAAATATCTTCCTTTCGTGAAAAAGGTTTCTCTTATGTTTGCTGCCGTAAATGGTTTCAAAAGGTTGCGGCATTTCCAAATTCGTCAGCCTTCACTTGCTCCGTTAAGAGCTGGCTCTTGCATCTTTGAGCTGCAGAGTTACAGGCGCTTTTTGGCGACTCTCTGGACAAATTGGGCTGATGTTGAGCTCTTAAGCCATTTTTCTGGTGATTCTCTTGGAAATTTGTCCAAATTTTTTCTCGGACCCGTTTGGCCATCTTGGCCTTGACGGCAGTTGTCGGTCTCTCGCGCCAAGAACGGTCCCCATGTTCACCCGGAGAGTGAACTGTATACTGCTCCGTAAATTCCAGTATAGTAAGTTACCTCAGTTTAGGAGGCAATTGAACTGGCAGGAGTCCGCTTCGCAACGTTTCGCTCCGCTACTCTCGTCTCTTTATTCAGATCTATCTCGCTGAACCAGGGCGGTGCGAACGCGCTGCTCCACTTGGAATGTTTCGCCTACTCTGAGTTGAAAAGAATGTAATTTTTCCGATCTCTTTTTTGACAAATTCCTTCTCTTGGTGATCGGCTTAAAGGCAGTGGCTCGGCAAATCCTCGACCTGAAGTTTTTTCGCTTACCTAGGGTAATTTAATTCGATGCTCTAATTTCGAAAATACATTTTGAGGGGCACAAAAATGAAAACCAGCATTTTTCGCTATTTCTCATTTTGAATTTGGACGAGTGGACCACTCCACGACATGCTTAGAGACGTAGAGTAGTTGCGGGACCCTCATGTTTATAGCATTGCGGCATGCCGCTTCTGACGACGGGAGGGGAATCCCAAGCTCGTCACTGCGTGTAAGAATGACTTGCGCGCACGGGTTTAGGGGCAGTTTTCTAGGCAGGGGCAGCATGTGCGCTCGGACCTGCTCTTTTTTGATGTTTTAGATGCAAGCAACCTTCCACATCAAATGCATTTGGGCGTATATACCTGAAACTACCAAAATCTGACAGTGGTCCATTCTGCCGAACCACCGCCTTTAAAGGCAGTGGTTCGGCAGAATGGACCACTGTCAGATTTTGGTAGTTTGAAGGCAGTGGTTCGGCAAAATGGACATCCGTCAGATTTTGGTAGTTCCAGGTATATACGCCCAAATACACGGTAGCCCCAATCACACCCTCCAATTCACGCGTTAAATCCTGAAAAAGCGCACCTACAGAAATTATAAAGATACGCTAATGTTAGATTCAACAGTGATCGAGCTACTCCCTAGTCTTGAAAGCATTGATTGACAAAATGTAACTCAGAACAATCAAGGAATGATAGGTTGTTCGTTTGAAATCGAATATTCGTATTCGAGTGTTTTATACGAATCATTCTATTATTCAAATATTCGAATAGTCGAATATTTGAGAAAGCCCATTTATTCGATAAATTCAATACTCAAATACATAAAAAAAGGCCTTTATTCGAATATTCGTTCATTAAATGGTTCGGAAAAATAACTTATTCGAATATTCAAATATCAGCCGCCCTCTGCCGCTACGCGGCAGGTTCGGCTGATACTCAGCAGCTCCGCTGCCCCGCAGCTGTGAACATTTCGTTTTATATTTACTTTTTACCATGCGGAAATGTGAAAATTTGCAGACAATTTGTCATATTGCACGAATCAGATTATAATCTGAGAAAGAAAAACTGAGAACATATTTTCGGCTTTGTCAGTTTATTTAGACTCGACATTCTAAGCAACGTATACTACGCAAACTGCATAGAATCAATGAATTGATAGAGGCAATCAGTAGGTCCCAAACAGAATGGCTTATCAAAACACGCCCCACCCCATACACTACGTCTGCCCAACTTGGTTAAATTCGATGACTTCTTCTATCTATTTTGTGCGAACGTATAATATTTCCCAAGCAAAACTGCAACAAATCAATAAATCGATAGAGGCGATCCGTGCGTGCCAAAGAAAATGGCTTATTAACACATGCCACACTCTGTGCATTATGTGTGCAAAATTTGGTTTTGATTTTACCGTTTTATAGCATCGACACACATGGTGTATCAAGGCTTGACACACCATGACTCCCATTGGAATGGCTAGAAATTTGTTTCAAACCAACTCTGGGAGATACAACCTCTACTGTTTTCACCAGCATTCCAACGCTACTGTAGGTGTATTGTAGATAGAGTTGTGGTGATTTTATCTGAAAAATGTTGGCAGGTCCGAGAAAGGTTTTGGTCGTCAATGTGTTTAGACAGCACATATTAACAACGTTTCCTTCATCCCGAGATCTTCACTTGTCTTGCCAGCTCAATAACCCCCAGCATGTCAAAATACTTGAAAGATACATTAAAGCAGCGCAAGGCCTGAGCAAGGCCGTCGCGAGGACCTGGACCGCTTGACTTGTGGCGACAGCCTATATGTCAGTCACCATACTCGAATCGGCTGCCTTTATAGTCAGGAGGCGTAAAGAAAATAAAGTTAAAATGTTGCAAAGTTCATAGAGAAATAATACTTTGAGTAGGAGTGTAGGTTGATGATGTAGGCATCGCATCACCTCTGCTGTAGATGTTCACTGATTCTGTTACTATAGGCCTTGCTCTCTCAGTCTCAGCCTTACAAGGGAAGGATACTTGGTTAAAGTGGCGTCTTCTATGTGATGTACACTATCTTATAGAGCGTGGAACGCTGATTCCAAAGCTGTTTTTGTATCTGCAAAGCGCTTCTGGGGAGTTTGGGAACTTTTTAAGGTGAGAAATCAAAGATTTGGCTAAGATAAAGGTAGGTGTTGAGGTCTTTGTGACGCTTGAAATAGTAATGACTAACATGAGTTTATAAGCTTGAAAGTCTTTATTCCATAAAACCTCTGGTAGTGATCAAAATAGAGTCAAAAAATCGATAATTTTTGATGGGCTGACCTCAGTCTCGTGCCCTCCCTGTATTCATCGTGCATGTAAACTTGAATTATCAAAAACAGCACCGCTCTGCGAAAAATTTGAGCTAAACTCTGTGCCTTACCTCTATCTACGGTATACTTACCGTAACATTATATTACAGTAACCCGAACCCGGACCACTCTGGCTGTAGATTTGCCAAGGTGTTCCCAATCATGTGTTAAAACCCCGTAGAATTTCATCGTATACTGGCAAAGCTAAAGCTCAAGGAATCTTACGACCCACCGGTCTGTCGTATTGTCGTGAGTGTGTTAATCAAGTATCCATCCTTTGTTAAAACTCACGCATTGCTGAGCTTCATGAATAAATTACAAACAACTACCCATCCCAAGTATTTTCCATTTGAATCTGTAGCTTAGGGAAAAAGTTCTGTGCATAGAAGGAACTTGTGAGGAAAAAGAAGTGCACTTGACCCGGTTACTAAAGTTATTGAGGCTTATTAGCCGTCTTGAAATACAATGAATGTAACTTACTTGTAACATTTTACTCAAACATGTAATACACCTTGTATTTTACCCAAACATGTAATACGCCTTGTATTACATGTTTAAGTAAAATCTCACAAGAGAAGCGTATACAGTCGAAGCACCTTTTTCAGATCATCCCATACTGCTTTGAAGAGTATGCACAGTGATTCCAGATCTGCCTTCGTTATCAAGCGCCCCTGTACCCCGAGTTATGGGCGTCTTGCGGGTCAAAAAATTGAACGCAAAACTGGACCAAAATCGCTCAAATTTGCTCAAATCCTAAGTCGAGTATCAGAGCGGTTCATGCAATGGATACTTTTGTCTAATAGCTAATACTCAACATTGCTTTATTTGAGCGCTGGAAAGATTGTATCAGTTGTTTTTATCTTAATTCTGTGTTCATTTTTCGTTCCAAAAACCGGTCATAACTCGGCGTCTAGAGGCGTTTGGCAGATAGTGAAGGCAGAATTGGTGCCATCGTACAATGCTCTTCAAGGTAGTATGAGTCTCATCAAGAAACGCCACTTCGACAAATCACGCTTCCCTTGTCAGTTTCATAGGTAGAATTGTGACCAAGCTACAATAACCTGGTCATCCTTATCACTTGCTACGCATACAATCCATCAGCTAAATATCTAAATCAAATATAACGACCAATTTTTCTGCAGAAAACTGCAACAAAGAAAAAACCAAATATTTGAGCCACTAGAATATTCGAATTTTTTGATTAGTGGATTATTCGGGCAGGTTTGATTAGTCGAATATTCAATACTCGTTCATCCTTATTTTAAAATGTAGCATTATTCGAATATTCTGAAAAATCACATTTCGAATAATATTCGTTATTTGAATAATTTTCAAATGCCGATTATTCGATATTTGTTCGTTCAGCGGTTTTCGATCGTTTCAACTGTAATAAATTGTAGGCATATCTTCGATATTCTAGAGATAGGTTGTTTAAGTACAGTCTGCTCCACTTGCGATCAGGCCGAACCGCCGGCGCAAATTTACGCGCTCGCAGCGCTAGCGGTCTGCGCTGCATATGCGCGCTGTCGAAGAAAGCAAAAGAATTGAAGAGAGGGCAGGCCATGGGCGTGACCGCGAAACCCTAGCGGCGCGCATAGTCCGCCATGCCAATTTTGGCCTGGTTGGGATTGGGGCAAATTGTAAACATGCTGAAGGCCGAAGCAGTCCGTGGGCGTGACCGCGAATGCCTAGCGGCGCGGACTCCCGCCATGCCAATTTTGGACTGGTTGAGATTGGGGCAGGCTATATCTGCCCCCCATAAGAAGTGAAAGTTCCTTATAGCAAATCAAAGAAGAGAAGACGATGCAAAACAATTAGCGAAAGCAGAAAAAGCTCTTTAAAACTCGATAAAACGCCACAATCAATTTGAAATTTTTCGTCTGGCAGCATTACGAATCGCGGGTTTTTGCTACAGGACAAGGCAGTCCACAGCACGGGGAAAAACGAGAAAAAGGTAGTTTCTTTTTTATGCTTGTTTCAAAATAAACATATATTGGATGGTGAATATCAAGAAGAAAATAAACGAAAAACATTCAGTTATAAAAAAGTAAAGCTTTGTTTTTTCACAAGTCGAAATGCACGCCAAGACGGCCTAGTTTTTGAAGCGTCCTTCAAATTTTTAGCTCCTTTCCGTAGTTTCTGTTTCTGCCGACGTTGTCAGTTTTGTTGCGCTCATAATCCTGAGCAAAACGCCATTAAGCTTGTAAGAAATGGTTGCTCACTAACTTTAATACAGGCCTATGAACAAAACACACTTTTTGCAGCTTTGTGTTGAATATTTCACCACAATCGATAAAGTTAAAGGCAGCGTCCGGGCATGACCCACCCACCCAGATTAGCACAAAGGCCCCATGAGTATCCGATCTGCGTTGATCCGATCCTCTGACGTGGCTTTTAAAAGGAGATACGGGTTTGTGTACGTATCACAAACCACCCCTCGCATCACAAACCTCCCCCTGAGGACGTGTGCTCACGCATCGATCGATCATGGATTGCAACTGCACCCATGCAGTTTCAGTTCCTCCTCGGTGGCGAGCCGGGGGATAAACAATCCGAAACTCGCCCGCGTTCTCAAAACCGAGTCCTCAGGAATTGAGTTTTTGAAGGTTTTGAACAATCTGAACTTTATAATTGTAACCAGGGCCACGGAGAGGCTCTAAAGCGACAAAAAAATGAGAGGCGAAATTTTGCCCGGACGCATCCTCTAAAAAGAATTCTTGTTCAAACCAGAAAATTGAGTACTGCGACGTTGTCACCGTGAAAGTAGAGATCAAGGGTTTCAATATGATACACAGTTTGCTAGGAAATTGAAAACAACGAAGAAAAGGGTACCAGAGCCAAATGTCCCGCGCCTCCGTTTGGGATAGCGAGGAAGCGCGCAACGCGCGGAGACGCAGACGGGCAGCGGAGACAAACCAGAGCCGACAGGGCATTTGGCTCTGGTCGTATATCTCGACGGGGTCTTAACGAAACCCTGTAACATTATACATCGTGGCGTCACGACACGACCAGGAAAACTGATAGCGTCGCGGGTGTTGTAAATCGCTCCTTAACGAGATAAACCAGGATTTAGTAGCGACTATTTTCGCTATAATTAAGCGTGGTTGCTCCTTTTTATTGAGCTCCAACAGCTTTCATGAACTTCTAACACTCAATCGTAGTCTATAAAAGAGTTAAATGAAAATGCTCGTCTTAAGTTTTGAGGGAATTTTCGGATACAAACCTTCTTTCTAGCAGAAAAGGCTACAAATGCAATTTTTTGGCTTTCTGTATTTTTTCAAGTATCATTCACTATATTTGCATCATTCACATTCATTCCTGTAAAGTTATCTTATATATAAAGCTGAATGTCTGTTTGTCTGTCTGTCTGTCTGTCTTTCTGTACGTATGTTCCGAATAGAAAATTCCATTTCTGAACCGATCCGGACCAAACTTGGCACACATACACATCGGGCCCCGGCGGGTGTCATAGGCTACTCTTCGTCATCGATCGATATCGATTTTATCGATTTTTTGCAAAATTTGAGCTATGGGGCTGGGAGTTGGCACAAAGGGGTAATCGAGCATGCTGATTACGAATATAATAATGACAGGGCCGGGCGTAGCCGGGTAAGTCAACTAGTGTCATAATATGCGGAGCTTCGCCCCGGATGACTTCTGTGTTTTTTCCAAAGTGAAAGTTATGTTCTATCATGACGCTGAAGGTTACCAGAGTGCATAGCTCTATGAATTGAAGGTATGGTTGTAGGTGACCTCAACTAAAAGTAACACAATTTTGAAAAACAAAGAAATATCTACGATATGAGCATAGGATGTCTCAAAGCATTCGTCCGTTACTTTGATCCTACGAAACTCATAGACCTATCACAAACGACTTACACATTATTCGATTCCATTTATCTTCTTTTTGATAGCTAGATTTTCTTCCGAATCTAAACCTTCCTTGCGATTAGTGTCGCCATAACGCCAGCAATACAGGGTTCAAAATTTCAAGTTCTAAAAGATTTTGTAGTAGAATCTCAAAATAGCGTTGAATGGAGAACCTTTCTTCGGCTTTTCAAAATTTTTAATCATTTCTTTGAACTTCGTAATTTACACATGTAGCTCGGAGATGTTACCAAAAATTCAGAAAATTGATTCTTCGAAGGGAGTTTATATTGATAATCTTCTATACATGATGATAAGTGACGACCAAACGCCCACCCTTTCAGTTTCATTATGTGCAGCAACACATTTCATTGCTTTTCAGAGGCACAAGAGGGAGCGAAAGAGTCTAAATTACCAGGAGAGTCAAGGCAGTCAACAGCTGTCAGGGGAGAGTACCTCAATGAGAAGCCGAAATTTACGATAACTCTCCTTGTAATAGAACTTGTAAGTGTTGAGATAGTTGTAGTAAAATACAAAATAGTTCCCGGTACTGAATTCGGACACCTTGACTAAAAAGTCAATTTGTGGGCTAACAAGGAAGTGCTTAGATGTAATAGCTTACTGATAAATGCAGCCTAGGACGCTGATTCATCATTTCTACTTTTTTAAAACTGCTAATCCTTTTTTAAACAAAATTATTAGGAACTGTATCACAAATATGTATGCACAAGACGTTGGGCATATAGATCTATGATTTAGAGCTGACATGTTTGAGGTTCTGCAAAGAGATGCCCAAATGTGAGTAATACATTTATGCGATTGATTTTGCAATTTGTGAAATTCTCTTTTGCTCATAACAGGGTCCACAAAGGCGTTTAACAACCAGAAAGGTAGATTTGGAGTCAGCGTTCTATGCCGCATTTACGAATCAGTTTATAAGAATCCTACAAAGATTCTAACTTGCTCACGTAAACACTATCCACATAAGACACATATGTACGCCGTTTCCGTATTTTTTCCTCTGTTAAAAATCAAGAAAACAAAAATTTTCATGCTTTTGCCAAAGTGATGCTGTGTCGTCCGCACATAAGTAGATGTGTACTACAAATTTGTAGAAGTGCAAACGTAAGTTTCCAGCTCTCTACAAGCTTTAGTTCTCGAGAATTTTAAATTTTAGCTTAGACCACCCGACTAATGAAAGCTATATTCGATATTTCTCGAGAACTAAAGCTTGCGGAGAGCTGAAAATCTACGTCTGTACTTCTACAGATTTGTAGTACACATCTACTTATGTGGGGACGACACAGCATCAATTTGGCATAAGCATGAAAATTTTTGTTTTCTTGATTTTTAACAGAGGAAAAAATACGGCAACGGCGTACATATATGTTTTATGTGAATAGTGTTTACGTGAGCAAGTTGAATCTAGGATTCTTATCAACTGAGTTATGATTTTTCTCGATTTTTCGGGCAGTTGAATCGTTTTAGTTTTTGGCTCGAAACTCGAGGTGGATCAGAGCTGTTGCTAAAGCAAGATGGCATCTTGTAGAGCCTGCTTTGCTCTATCAAATGGTATTTTTAAGCCTATTCAGAAATGAAAAATGTACGAATTATAGCGGTTGAAAGCGAAAACGGACATTAATTTCCGAACGACCTAATATAAATAGACAGCCGCAACAAGGTTTGCTAGATACCAATGAGGTTCCTTACAGCCCCATTACTTGTATACCTTTTTGAGATTTTCGAGCAGGAAAATGATTACTGATGTGAGTGACACTAGTCTCAGCAACAGTTGAGAGCTAATGTTCCTCGAACTATTCCCGTACTAGCGTAATATCCTTCTTACACGAACATCCTTAGTCCCGTTAACCGCGTCTCAAAGCAAAAACAGTCGCGAAAAATATTTCGTTTTTTTTTCAGAAACCTTCAGATAAAGCTCTTTGATCAATACGAAGATGCCTAGAAAAAGTCACTCTTTAATATTTCAGATGTGGTGTGTAGCTGGATCTTTGGTATGGGGAGCTGCAGCGGATAATCCAGTGTTACCACAACTTCTAGCCTTATTCAATATGCTTATCATATTCTTGCTTATATTAGCTTGCCTGAGTACAGAGGTACGCATTATTTTATTATAGTAGACTAGGCGCCTCTTTCAATCTTTCATTCACGTTAGGCTCGGTTCACATGCTTTCATCGTCGCGATTGATCGCGACAAGACAACTGTAACAATATCATAGCATGCCGATCTTCTTGCACTTTGGTTGTGATAGTTTTTCAACAAGGGTGATCTTGACTAACTATCACAACCGAAATACAAGAAGATCGACTTCAATGAATTCGTAACCCATATCTTGTAGCGATGAATCGCGACGATGGAATCGCGTGAACTCTGCTCGAGGCTTTGAGCGGTTAGTCTTCACGGGCTAAAATTATGAGAGCAGTACTCTCTTCTAAAAAAATACTCTTTGCTTCAATTAGATTGGCTGCTGGAAGGCGGGGCTTCATGACCTAGGAGGCAACTGCTCGCGTCTACGCAGACGTCACTGCGCCTCCCTCGTTAACATGCTTTCTGATCACCTTCTAGCTTTAATTAGGTTAAAATTCCGCCTTCCGGCCGTCGATTTGGTCAAAGCAAAGGGTACCTCTTACTCTACTGTTAATTTACCGATGCGAGCTGCTTGGTTTGCAAATTTTCGTTTTCAAGTTGCAAACAGGCGGTTTCCTACCTTTTGCGACAAAAAATATTACAAACTTGTCTTTGCCTGTTTAGAAGTCAATGTATTACAGTACTTTCGTTTCCAAGTCAGGAGAGAAGACACCAGATCGGACACGCGATTTTACGTACCATACATATGGAGATATGTGGTAAAAACCTTACTCTTGCTCTTAAAAGTCAGAAGTTTGGCATAATCCATTTCAGCTCTGCGAGGCACACCTAGCCAGAGCTATTCTTCTTTGTGCCAACGTAACTATAATGGCATTTGATAATGATTATGACATTGGATCAATCATTGTACTTGCGGCTACACCTGTTCACTTAATCTTAACTTCTTTACATATCTTCACTGCAATCAAGCCAAGGCGACAGTGAACACATTTGTCTTAAACTTGCTTCACCTTTTTTACTGATAATGAGATTCTTATAGAAAAACGCTACTCTAGTTTCTATCTGCCATTCAATGAATCTTTTACTATCTTCATGCTCTCGACATGGAGATTTTACTACCTTTATGCTTTCGACACGTTCATCTGAATGTAGCGACGAAGACTTTAGCTTCAGTGCTTACAAACATTTTCCTTCCTCCTGACCACCCATTGAAGGCAGTGTCCCGGCAAATTCGCGCCTTCGGCGATATTGCTATGGTGGAGTTCCTCGTCATCCCAGTCGATGTTCCCCCTGAGCCGAGAAAATAGCCCTTGAACCGGCGCGGCAACCCCACTTGGCGCACGCTCGGGCGACTTCGCTTATCGCTCGGCGCGGGACCCTACGACCGCTCTCCCGCATTGTGCATCCTATCCAAAGCAAAAATAACAGGCAGCGGGGTCTTCGTACCAGGGCCTTCCAACTTTTCGAAATTCTCGTCCGAGCTGCTTATTGAAAACTAGATGGCAAACCCGGCTCCGCCCGGGGCCAAACTTTGCACACGTACACTTCGGGGCAGGGAGCGTGTCATAGTCCACTTTTCGTTATCGATCGATGTCGATTTCACCAATTTTTTGCAAATTTTGAGCTACGGGGCTGGGATTTTGCACAGGGGGGTAATATTACCCCCCTGTGCAAAATTCCAGCCCCCTAGCTCAAATTTTGCAAAAAATCGATAAAATCGATATCGATCGATAACGAAAAGTAGCCTATGACACGCTCCCTGCCCCGAAGTATATGTGTGCCAAGTTTGGTCCCGATCGGTTCAGAAATAAAAATTTCTATTCCGCACATACGTACAGACAGACATACAGACATACATACAGACAGACATTCAGCTTTATATATAAGATTGGGTGAACGCCCCGAAAAAGGTCATTTCACCCTTTTAGGTTCAAATTCGGAGTCTATGGGTCGAAAAGGCCAAAACATGCAAAAAGATTGAAGTGCAAAATCTGCGAAGACACTGCCTTTGAGTTGTTTGGAAAGTCGTGAGCGCATATAATAAATCCAAAGAACTCAGCGGCAGCAAAGCTCACGTAAGTGGTAATAATTCTCGATCATCAAAAATAAAATATACAGTGTCCGAAACTGCTGCCTGACCATTGCTAAATATGTAGCTTAGAAAATCGCGATTGAATTATATTCAAAACATTTATTAACATTTGCCAAACATAACGATGTAAAACACAACCATTTACCTACTCTAAATGAATCGAGCTAGTCTCGATCAGCAATCAAGGTCTAGGCACTGAGGTCAAGTCATATGCATGCTCCTCCTACAGGTGAAATGCATTTCCACAGAATATTTGTTCTATTAAACAACTAAATGCGAATTTCTATAATGTTGAGCATTCTGAACCATAAAAAAGTCGTATGATCTGCGAAGGGTGAATGTGAACAGCACAATGGCTAAATAAGATGTGGACACACTGATTCCCGTACTAAGAAATTTACAAATGAAAGCTCACACGTTTGGTATGCCATATGGGCAGGAAAAAATCAGGAGGTAAAGCCACTGTGTCTGCCATTCAAAAAAAAATCGGAAAGGATAAATTGCAGAAAGGTTATTGAGATGAAAATGAGGTAAAGATTTAGCAAGGTTAATAGCCTCAAAAAACGATAGAAGGAGCAGCACTGTCAGGAGAAAAGTTATACGGATTTACGCAGCTTGATAACAGTCCTTCCAATATAGGCAACGAAAAACCAAACCAACTCAAAGACTTATTTTAACACAAAAAAATTGGTGAAGGTGAAGGTCATTTCCTTCAATGCATTCTTTTCATGCAAGAGCGACGGATCACTAGGACAACACTGCTTGAAAAACGCTGTCGCAAATGGGTTTGTAACTACATATTAATTGCTAACATTACATAAAGTACAAGTATAATCTATTTCCAGCTGACAATAAGTCAAATGGTCAAATATGATCAGAAATAAAAATCCCTGCTGTTAGCGTGAGCTGCATATAGCAATAAAATCAGCTCCTATGCGAATAAGCGCGAGCGTCTAGCACATTCATCTCCGGGCTGGTATGTTCTCAGGAGACCTGCAAATAGAATTACAACTTTGACGGAGTTGTGAAAGATGAACTACCTCTTCTTCATGATCAATCACAAAATGATCTCCTCTCTGTGGATTCACCTGCGAAGAGCGCAAACGCGACTGAGATGTGGTTGTATAAGAAGTTGCTTTTGAAGGATACAATGTTATTGAGGATGGCTTTAGAGGGATCGCATTTTTTCTCGGCCTAAAAGTACAAATCCCAAGATTACAAAAGGATTTCTTTCAACTTCGTTGCGGAAGAGGTTATATGCGCAAAATGAAGGGCGAGTACTATATATCGCCGAAAAGTGGTAGTCCCACGCGGACATCTGCAACAGACCACGCAGCCATACAATTAGAGGCATTGCGGATGTGTACCAGCTGTGTGCGCGGGGTGGAGCCTATCGACGTATACCCCAAAATGAGTGACTGGCAAACGAGCTTCAAAGGCTCAAAATATCTCTTCTCAGACAATTGCATCGGAAAATGGCCTTAAAGGCACCGTTTTGCATTGCACCCGTCCACGCTTGTCCAAAACGACGGTTCTTAGGGTTTTCGCGGATTCTCGGCTCCATACTCGAAATCAAGACCTTCAAAAGGCCCGGAAACGACAAAAACATGAAAGTCGAGAATTGGCGTAGACCGTGCCTTTAAAGCGCGTTACGGGCGCGCCGCGGCCCCAAAATCTTCGCCTGACGAGCCGCGACCCTACAATCTTCAGCCTCAGGCCGCGGATCTTATTGTAGACCGCACTTCTCACACGCTGTAGGTTGAAGGCAGTGTCCGGGCAAAAACTCGATGTCTAGAAAAACCACTTACCGGTGGTTATCCGCAACGCTGAATCCAAAAAATCCACATTAGAAGGCGCGGAAACGGCGAGAACTTGCGTCTTTCAAAGCCTTACAACTCGAAACTCGACGGTCCCCGCCAAGGCAGAGACGCAGAGTCGCTGTGAGTCCCCACATTTTAACTGTGGCGGCATGCGTACTCTGCCGCATAGCAGGGATTCGGACAGCTCGGAGGACCCCTCCCCAAGATGTAAGTTTCCCCACTTTCCGGCCTTTTTTTTGCTTTAGGTCGAGAGTTATGACTTCGCACTTGCGCGATGTTGTGTCTGAGGGGGACCACTCTCGCATGGCACTGAAATCCCAAAATTCCCATCTTGCCCGGACACTGCCTTTAAGGCGTACCGGCGTGAGGTACGTCGCAGCGGTGAGACTAATCTAAGTGTTTATGAGGCTGGTTGTCGCTTCTCGGATGTGGTCCTATCTGAGGAATTGAGTTTTTATGCTTACGAAATCAAATTCAACAGTCGGACGAGTGTTATCGAAGACATTAGATGATGTAGATGGATGAGCGAACAAATTGCTCAACTTGCACTCAAATCGTCATCGCGAAAGACAGGCAAAAAGGTACTCTTTCTGTGCCTTACAAGAATGCTAATCGGGTCAACTATAGGTGCTTACAGGATGCGCTAACGGTCACTTATCAATTCCAGTATCGGTTTACCGTGCAGCTCGCGGCAAAGATGATTGGTGGTCGGGCAAGCATCCCGAACTTCCCGATGCAATTGTCTGAGTATATTCATTAGAAGAAAGTACCTTTCCAAAGGTAAACGTCTCCGCGCATATATCCGCTCATTCGTCCACTTTCCACGCGTGGTGTCCCGATAAATGATTTCACTAGTATCATCGACCTGGTACGTCTTCATCCTGAGAAAAGGAAAAGGTTTATATAGCTAATCAAAGTTCCACTCCTGTCCCATTCTTGACACAAGCTGTGATTGTACTACTTCTCATCTATATGACTCAGTCAGTAAACCAATTATGAAACATTCAGATAAAGTACTTCGTTCCGAAAACTGCTTATTCTTACCTAACAGCTCCACCTCCGTTTGGTGGGCATCGATGAGCAACTCCCGGTCGGAAAACTTCATCGGCACATGCTGCTTCACAATCTGGATGCACTGTCCACCATGATCCGGCTTCATTCATCACCAAGAAATCTTTGCGAGGCTACAACCCATTGAAATGAGCTAGTGGATAATAATGATGTCTTCAGATATTAAGAAAAATATTTGAGTGTAGAGGTCCACTGGAGATAGAATTCGCCCGTCAAAAAAAAAGCTATCATGTTTTTTTCTCTGGCGTTTTGAGAATCACGCTTATGAAATCTCTAAGCCCTGTAGACCATAGTTTCATGTAACTATCGCTTATGTGAATGATACCTGAATGTTTCATCTTGCCCCTTTTCAAATATCTGAAAACTTACGTTTGGTGTCAAAACTCTGACGAAAACAGCAGAAGACATCAAGCAGTGCCGTATGGATTGGCGCCAATGTCGACCGTGGGCGGACGATGGATTCTACAAAAATCAAACCTTTTTAGCAGAATAGGTAGGCTGGCCTCAAACTCACCGTATCTTCGAAAATCTCAAAAATAGCATTCAACGGCAAAGCTCTATATTCGGAAGTCAACAATGTGCGAAAAAGCCAACAAACCATCGAACATTCATGCATTCGCTTTCGCACTGAAAAAGATTATAAGCATGACTCGCGGCATCCTCATGAGCTTACCTAACATTGGCCTTCGTATAGGAGCTGTACTTGCCAACGAATCCATTGCTAGTGCAGGCATTATTGGATCTGGCATACCAAGCAGAGGTGATGGGTGCTCGTCGTAGGGAAAAACAGATAGAGTATTTTCTTAAAATACAGTCAATGTCGGGAGGTTTGCTTGTATATCAATACACTTACCACGTGAGTCAGAATCCAAGTCCAAGGAACAGAAAGAGGATGGAGAAGATGAATCAGACTCAAGTCCAAACTGGGACAAAGGTGAATTGGCAAACGAATCGAGATCATCATGGAGTTCTGGAAAAAAATCGCTTGCAGATTATTCCCCTCAAGCCATGCGGTCCTTTTTCAGCCTATTTATCACACAGCTCGAGACCAAAATTTCAAAAATGTGATTACTTAAAGTAGTGTGACGTTTTTCTGAGGTCTCGAACTGTGTTTCCATGAAGAAAAAAAACAGGGATAAGAAATTTTTCTGTGAAATATTGTTTCCTCCAAGTTTTTGCTTTTGCATTCTCCCAAGAAACTGACCTGTCCATTGATATGCATATGGACTTCTAGCCAAAATTTCTGCGGAAACCCCTCACTTTAAAGTGTGCACGTTTTTGATGGTTAAAAAGTGCTGCGGATCGCTGCTTAATTCCGCTTATCCAGCAATAGTTCCAATGAACTATCTGAGATTGGTGAGTAAGAAATAATCACAGATCTTTGGGGTTAACAGCAGCACTTTAATTACTTCTAGGCCAGATCTAAAAACACAGAAATTCGAGGCCAACTTATAGGACATATCACTGTATTTATTCAAACTTTCAGGTCATTGATTCGGATTGAGTAAGTCACAAGAAAATAAATAACTAGAACAGAATCAATTCACTCTTAAGTATTATACGTGAGCTTTGTTTCACCAAAACAATAGCAATAAAATGTGATTGCAGGTTTTTTTTTTCTGAGCTAAAACATTTTTGCAATAAAAATTTGTACTTTAATTTGTACTCTTCGGCATTCCCCATGAGTTTCAACATGTGCAGAATAAAAATCCGATAAGAAGAGGAGATAACAAGTGATGCGCACGCTTGTAAAAGCTTCAGTTTTGAATGATAAATAGCATGACATTTGATAAATTGCCTATGATAGTATCTATCGAACTGCATTTGGCACGTCAATCCCTCGATACATGTCTACAACCCTCGATTCCCTCCCCCCACCCCCCCCCCCCCGCCCTCGCATTCATATTTCCGATCAACACTCGTTAGGATCTCACATGCAGAGTACAACACAAATATGCATTAAGCACCTGGACATAGCAAAACCGGCAATTCTCGATTTGCACTATAGATTTTTAGAGATGTAAAGAGTGCACGTGCACAAAATTTAAGAAGTTGTAGGAAGACATGGTTTGAGTCTTTTCAATGCCCCTGCAATAAAAATATAGCTGGTTATAGCAGTGACCTGGAAAGATCGGGGTTCTGCACAAACAGTACCAAAATTAACTAGTGTTCCCTGTGAAACGTCGTGCAAAGCAATGATTATGGCAAAGTAAAAAATATTGTGGATGATCATCAATAACTTTGCATATAGTCACTTCAGTATGACCCTGAAATTTTTGCACCAAGATAAAGGTAATTGTTATGGCCCAGAATGTTATTTCATTTCGGAATGAAACCATTTGACTCATTGCATACCTTCTTTTATGTCCTTTTTCGGAACGATACAGTCCCATCCAAGACCAAAGTCCTCGTCGAGGTTGAGTGGAGGAGCGCATGCAGAAAGTAACACCGACAGACCTCCATCGAATGATGAATTTACAGCGACATCGTCCATTTAGAAAAACTGGAAGTTGATTGTTATCAGGCACAATCGAATCAGGTTTGGGCATTAAAGTATGCGTGAAATATAGGGGCATAAGAAACACTGTGAAAAAAAAAGAATTTATACGAGAGCTGTAGATGTGGGCGCACAAAATTCAGAAATTCCATGTCAGCAAACGCATGGTTGGCACTAATGACCTTAAAGTCACATGGTACATGGCCGAAAGTGCATAAAACAGGTGCTGGAAGAGGAAATTGAACGGCAGCAGTAAGGCTAAGAAGGATTGTAGGAAAATGATTGCAAGTTCTCACTTGAACAGAAAAATTTTCTACAATGATAGAATGGTGAAAGGGAAAACATTTTTCTTCTGCCATTTTTTGACTCGTTCTACCGAAACAAACCAAAGACCAAACCAGAGAAAAGATTATGTCTTTGAGCAAAAAAAACTTTTGTTGCAGGCACTGTAACAATTCCAGTCGTCTCGATAGGGTAATTAATCAAAAATCTGCAACGCAAGATGGTAGAACGAGATTCTTCGCATGTATGCAAGCCAAGGCGAATTTTTCAAAGTACACGAAGCCGATAAACCTGTTCTAGACTAAAAGTCAAAAAATCAAGACGAAGATGCACACTGCAGTCCAGTTATGAGACCAGCTATGCATATAGCAAAGAATCAAGACCGATATAACCTTGATCCACTTCTACAGTTAACCACACGTTATTTCTGTGCATGTTGTTTATGAACTTTGCGATAGCACAAAATACGAAGACGACGGGGCGACGGTCAGAGATCAACAAACGGCCAAAAGATAAGTGTCAATTCTTCTCCAGTAAATGAGAAAGTCAACTTCTCCACGATTAAGAGCAGAATGTTCGCAGATTATCTGTTGATGTGGTGTCAAATTGTTAGGAAAATATGAAAATGAAAAACCTAACCAAGAGCGTACAAAGGCATCAGACACACTACCAAAAAGCGAATAGAGACCAAGAACTCAACCAGACAGAAATGCCAATCTCAAATTTACTGAATCAGTCAGGAATCTCATCTAGGAGGGATATTAGCATTTTCAAACATAATTTCCCCGCTTATCCTAAAAAAATAATCCTTTCCTCACAACTTAACTTACTTAGTCTTGCAGAGAAATGTTCGATGAAAAATATGTATGACCTATACGAGATACCAATAGGATTCAAACAAATCAAATTTGAACATGTAATGGGCACAAAAAGCTGCTCATTTTTATCTTCCGGAGCTATCACATATTCCAAGCTTTGAGCAAAAAAAGCTTAATGGCGTTACAGCTGCCTTTTCGGCAAAAGATTGTCCAAACGTTCTGATTGTTAAAAGAAAGGTCATTATTTAGTCAACTCCAAAGTGCACATCGTACAGCTGTAAACAGATAAACGTTCGAACTGCCAAGCTTCCAGAGGTCGTGAGATAAAAGTAGAGAATGAGAATACTTACGATAATTAGGATCTAAAATTGATCACTGACATTAGCAGGTGCATGAGACACTTTTCATTTCTCTTACAAGGGAAAGGAAGCTAATTTAGATTCGCCTTTTGAAATGGGACACATGTATTTCTGTTTCTAGCTGTCTAGCATTATTCTGAAGTAAGTTATGGTCTCTTCTCCATGCAAAATTTAAGTGTTCCTCGACCTACTGATGCTAAGGTGTTGACGTTTAGGTGCTTTTGCAATTTAATGCTCCCTTTTGAGATTGAAAGAATTAATCTGATGCTAGTTCAACACCTAGCACTTTTTTTTTCGAGCAGATTCTTATCTACACGCCGTCTTACGACATTCGGAAGTTTGTTAATTACTCACAACAGCAAGCCCATAACTCGCTTTGGAATTACACTAAGCAGCTAGGAACAACTTGTTCGAAATCAGCGTTTAAAGCTGATTCCTAATATATGTGTCTCATTTCAAAAGGCGAATCTAAGATAATATCCTTCCCTTGTTAGTATTTTGCATCTTCAAAAATTTATTCTCCAACCCTTGTGCTCAAAGTTGGATAATCCAAAGACCAAAAGTGATAAAGAACTTCATCAGATGAGAATCTAGGCGTTACACTGAAAGCAAGCAAAACCTATTGTGTGAGAAAAATGACTATACTTTCGATTTATATGCGTGAGGGATAGATAGCACTCTGTCATACTGGCAATGAGAACGTCCACGGATAAATAAAAATCAATGACCCCTTTTAAAGTAAAAGCAAATATGCAAATTGAACAAGTCACTGCTTCAATATAAGCTATTTTCGCTTCAATACCGGCAGCAAATTCTGTTTTCATACAGTTAGGTAGAGATATATGCACCAAGAGAAACATGGAGTAAAAAGACTTTTGCCTCACAGTATAAGGTACTTTCGTAGTAAGTACATAGTAGTAAGAACAGCATTCTATTCTTGACAACAAGCCATGCAAAAACTCAATTTGTTCTACTATAAACTTGGCAACGGCAGTTTAGTAGCAAGTACATTTTTTCCTTCATTACCAGGCAAAGAAAAAAGCTAGCAGGACGAAGGCAGCTTTGCAAATTGGGCAAGCAAAAAAAACGTTTCGTGCACGTTCGATATCAGAAAAGTTTGTCATGTGCTCAGATGTGACTCATGAGATAGCAATGATATTTGATAAGTGACAAAAATGCCCGGAATGACCCTGCAACTCTTGAATACCATGCTCTTCGAATTTTGAGAAAGCCAAAATGGCAAGTAAAACTGTTTTACTGAAGAGCACTGGTAGGAGCAGTTTATACATTTGTACAGTTTATTCAAGATAATGATAGTAATGTCAAACAATATTCAGAATCAATATTTTTTTGTTTTCGTAATTAAAACACTCAACGAAAGAAGGTAAGTTTTTTCACCAAAAGCGACTGAAGAAAGGAGCCCTAAAGAAGCCAAAAGTGAACATTACAATTGACAATTGCAAATAACAAAAGAAAATGTTAAAAATAGCAAACCCAACATTCCTGTAGTACAAAACAATTAAATAAAAAGTTTTTTATTTGAAAGACATACAACTGAGCCATTCGGACATAGGCAGAATGAAATAGAAAACAAACTCTTATTTCAAAAAAAGTTGATGGAAAGTGAACAGATCTAGAAAGTCTAAATTGAAATTGTTATTGATCTTCACTTTATGAGTTTGTATAGGAATTTTATGAGCAGAAGTTTGATGTTTTGCACTCTTGTAACGAAGATTCACAGTTCTTGAAGAAACTATAAATTCTGGATACTATATATAGTTGATACTCCCGCCCAAAGCTTCTGCAAGGTAAAGCCAGTGAAAACAACAACAGATTCTGTGCTATAACTATCCAAAAACAACATTAGGAATGTGATTTGATTACTCATTGAGCGGGATCTTTGTCACAAGGATTATGCATGTCACTAAATCTCTCTCAATAGCTTCTCCTCTGATTTGAACAGCTGCCTCAGAGCAGAGTTTAACAGGATGTGAACAAACTACGCACATACACACATTTTTTTGCAATAGCAATAATGTCAATGTTGCTTGGCAAGTTTATAGTTAGATGGGTTTCGCAACTAAGATAACCCAGCTGATAAAATTTTAGAAAAAGGCACAAATTTTCAAAATTATGGTGATAAGTATCATTCACAGGAAGAAAAATGGCTGTTGTTCTATAGTCGAGAGTTATAAATCATTCTTTGTACCAAAAATGCACCCTTCAAATCTCAACTTATAGTGACTGTCGTAAATAATGTACAACTATTTACAAACTGAGTTCCTGACGATCAATACCTTTCAAAAAGAATTTGCTCAAGCCTTGTTTGAAAAATGAAAAAAAAACGGTAAAAAATTTGGTTCAAGAGCTTAAGCAGTGTAAGGATACTAATGGTACTGCAAAGCGGAAAAGATTCTATAGTGAGTCTTCCAGTAAAATTATTATTTCTGAGTTCTTTTGGTCCAAGGTCTATCCAGAATTAGGAAATTAAAATCGAAAATAATGTGGATCATTTTGACAAATGTGTGATTAATGGGACCCATCGATTAAAATGCCAAGTACTCAGAAAGGACGATTTTCTCGCTACTTCCGCCTTTAGCTAGCTTACTAAAAAAATTTCTTGTGCCACAGAGATTGTTTGAAGAGCCATTTTATGCACTTATTAGGCCTATTATTTTTGAATCGTTGAGTGGATTCAGTCAAGCATCGACAGTTCAAGAAAATGATAGGTAAAGTAGAATCACCTCAGTGGATACAAACCAATGGTTTGTCAATCAGTGGTCATCCACTACTCACTTTGATTATGTTTGGCTGTTGTTCTTGCATATTATTCGACGAAAAGTGACGTTCAAATGCCTTCATCTTCAAAAAACACATTGCTGTTTAAATGAAATCAGGATAGTAAGAGATTCAGCTGAACATATTTTAAGCCCACAATCAGCAGTAAGAGAGTGCACATTCTTGCTTTGAGGGAACTTGTAACCTAAGCAGTATTTTTGTTATCAGCAACTCAAATTTTCATGAACAAAGAAGTTTGGCAGGGATAATTCAACTTTTGTTACATATACGATTACATTTACGATTCGTTGATGCCGGCACACGTGCAAGCTCATAAGCCCGTAGGTTTGAAAACTATCGTTTTGGAAAAATAATTTCATAGAAAAAAGCAGAAAGGCAGAAAGGAAGGAGCAATTCAAAGCAACCATATGGCTCTTTATCCCAGGTTCTTTCGATGAGCAAAACGCTATTATTCAAGATGGATTACTTTGCTTGAATGGTTGTAATAGTCACAAAAAGAGAATTGAGCATTGCCGATGCTTACTGCTTAATACATAGCTTCAACGAAGACGAAATTAACAAAACATAGGACAATAAACGAAATTAGAAATTTGAGGATTAATTAGCGTGAGTGGTCTGGTATAGGAATCCATTACTATCCTGAAGAGTTTTGGAGGAAATCAAAAGGTAAATCATAATAGGGAATAAGCTTATGAATCTAAGGACTCCAATTTGTTTCGAACTTTTTCATGAAAACAATTTCCAAGAAATCTTACACTCTCCTTCAATACC